ATAAATGTTAAAACACATTCGTTATGTAATTACTACATACATAAACATAAACACTCACGCCTGTCACCCAGAGGGGTAGGCAGAGACTACGGACTTCCATTTGGCACGATCCTGACATACCTCTTTCGCCTCCTTTACATCCATATATCTACGCATACATGCTCATCGGTTAAGGGTACTTCTAACGTGGCCCATTTTCAAAATATCGCCAATTTAGTCTATAAACTTTTTCCTAGGGCGTCCCTTCCCGACTCGGCCATTCACATCTGCCATATAAATTTGCTTTGTCACTCTTTCCTCATTCATTCTTTCTACGTGACCAAACCACCGAAGCATTCCTTTCTTAATCCTGGTCACAACATCATCTTGCATACCACATTTATCTCTTATCACGCAATTTCTCACCCTGTCATTCAGATTACACCCTAGCATATTCCTTAAAGACCGCATTTCTACAGCATTTATTCTACTTTCGTGCTTCTTCTGCCACACCCAGCTTTCAACTACCATACATTAAAGTAGGGACTAACACAGCATTATGAATTACGTAGGCGGTCCCATAATGAATTGGCCTAACTATGAACCAATGAAGGAAATGAAACGAAACCAATTTTATTTTTAAATATAATCACCATGAATACTAACACACTTCTGACATCTGTGAATCAACATCTCTAAACCTTTATAAAAATAATCACATTTTTTATCCTCAAAATGACTGAAGACGGCCGCCTGCAACTCATCATCGCTTGAAAATTTTCTTCCTCTTAGGTCCCGCTTTAAATTTGGAAATAAATAATAGTCGGACGGGGCCATGTCTGGGCTGTAAGGTGGATGTTGAACTTCTGTGAACCCGCATTGACGAACTGCATCCTTCGAAACACCAGCGGTATGAACAGGGGCGTTGTCATGGAGCAACAGGACACCTTAAGACAGCTTGCCTCTTCGTTTTTCCTTTATCTTGTCTCGTAATTTATATATTAAAGAAGCATAATATTTGCCGTTCACGACTGTATTACGTTCTTTAAAATCCACCATCAAAATGCCTTGAAAATCCCAAAATATTGTGCACATCAGTTTTTTAGTCGATTGTTGCACCTTTGCCTTTCTAGGGGGCTTTTCACCCTTATAACGCCATTCCATTGACTCGCGCTTGCTTTGTGGATCAAAATACAAGATCATAGTTTCATCACCAGACTAGCCGCTCGATCACAGTCTTTGGATTTTCGCCACAAAGATCCAAGAACTCCGAAGCGCAGCGCACTCTTTCCTGTCTCTGTACCGCTGAAAGAAGTTTCGGTACCCATCTTGCACTCACTTTTTTCATGTGAAGATGTTCATGGATCGCGCGATGAATGGTACTCTTAGAGAGCCCAAGCTTTGCTGCAATTTATCTAATCTTCAAACGGCGGTCACTCAGAACCTCCTCTTCGATAAGAGCAATCGTTTCGGGAGTGAGCACTTCCACAGGTCGACCGTCGTGGCCAAAGTCTTCGACGGTTTCTCTCCCGAGGCGAAACTCTTTCACCCAATTTTTCACTGTGCTATAGAAGGGGGCAGACTCCTTATACACGCCATCCAATCGTTCTTTTATTTGGGCAGGGGATAAACCTTCTTTAAACAGAAACTTTATGACACTTCGATACTCAGTTTTCGACATTTTGAAAAAATACGCGAATCTCGTTATTCAAATGCCTGTTAAACTAAGACTAAGCATTTCATGTCGATTCATGTTTCTTATATTAAGTGCACGATAAACGTACTATTTAATGCAACACAACATGTAGCGAGATGTCGCGTTGAACTATATCAGGCCAGTTCATTATGGGACCGCCTGGTACCATACGTGCCTGTTTTGACAAATTTTGGTTTTTCATAATAGAGTGTAGTGCCCCATTCACTCTATTCCCTGCATTTACTCGTCGTTCTATATCCCTATCATATCTATCATCCCTGCTAAATACACATCCCAAATACACAAACTCATCCACTTGCTCAATCAACTCTCCTTCTATTCTTATTTCACATACCGTTTTGCTTTCTTCTCTTTCAAAAACCATCACTTTCGTCTTACTTGCGTTCACTTTCATTCCCCTTTCTTTTAATTCCCAGTTCATTAATGTAACCATCATTTGCAACTCTGCCGCCGATGACGCAAGTATGACTTGATCATCGGCATACAAAAGGCATTTGACGGTTAACTCGCCCATTCTTAACCCACATTCTTCATCTTTCAAAGTTTGCAAACACCGGTCCATAAATAGGTTGAACAGCCAAGGGGAAGCCACACAGCCCTGTCTGACACCTTTTTGGATGCCAAACCAGTCCGAGTAGACCCCATTGATCCTGACACAAGCACTAGAGTCCCTATAAAGAGACCTTAATGCCTGTATCAAACCAGCGCTCAACCCATATGAGTTCAGTGTTTGCCATAACACATTCCTGTCCATCCTGTCATAAGCCTTTTCCAAGTCCATGAACGCACAAAAAACTTTCTGGTTTTTGGCCAAAAACTTCTCCGCAATCATGCGCATGGAAAAGACTTGATCTGTACACCCCATTCCCTTTCTAAAACCCGCTTGCACATCCCAAATTTTTCCATCAGTTTCTTTCATAACTCTTTCAATTAACACCTTAGCATACAGTTTACCCACAATACTAAGCAAGCTGATACCGCGGTAGTTTTTGCAGTCCTGCTGTGACCCTTTTCCTTTATATATTGGTACTATAACTGCTTTACACCAGTCATCCGATACCCGTTTTAATTCCCAACATAAATTAAACAAGGTGTACAGCAGGCCTGCCACCACTCCCACTCCAGCCCTTAGCATCTCTCTCTATCATATCCAGCTGCCTTACCTGCTTTCATGCTTTTCATTGCTTTCATTATTTCATCTACACTTATCTCCATACCCCTTTCCACTTCTTTCGGAATTTCTAGTTCATTTAATTGATACGACTCTTCACTCATAAACACGCTTTCAAAGTATTCCTTCCATCTGTTTAAATTCGAAACTTCATCATTCAGAATACATCCATTCTCGTCTCTTATAGCATTTATTATAGGCTGTTTTGTATTTCCCCTGGCAGTTCTTACGAGTTTCCAGAACATTTTTATGTTAGCCTGGAAATTATCAGATATATAATATTTAAATATAATAATATTAGTAATTACATTGAGTCATACACATGACTCAATGTAATTACTAATATTATTATATTTAAATATTATGGCTAATGTTACAGTATAAATAATTATAAATATATATATATATATATATATATATATATATATATATATATATATATATATATATATATACAGTGTAAATAATTCACTCAAGATTAGCCAGCTAAATTTATTATACTTACTGCCTCAGGCAACCTTTATATTCTAAAGTTACAGACTATAAACGTCCCACAGCTGGGCACAGGCCTCCTCTCATTTCTGAGAGGGTTTTAGGGCAAGGAAGTGTCTACCGCGCTGCCCTAATGCATGTTGGCGAATTTCACATGTCTTCGAAATATTTTATTCTTATCTCTCGGACATGCAGGTAGCTTAACGATGTTTTCCTTCACCGCCGAGCACGTGGTAAATCAGCACTTAAAATTGCAATAATCAATTTCATTGATGCCGGCGGGGATCGAACCCGGGTTAACCGCGTACTGTGAAATTTACAGCGATCGCTATGATTACTTCTCTCCTGAAGCCTAATTTAGTAGATTTTTTAATGTTAAAAATTAGTCTAACGATTAGGCTACTAGTTATTAGCCTAATGTATAATTTAGACAGATAATAATGACAACTACAATAGGCTTTCTGATCCTGATTTTAATAATAATTTGCTTGTAATGATTTTTTATACATCACATACACAAGTACAAACGCAAGTACAATGTATAATAAATACATATTACACATCACTTAATTTTGTGTTTGACTAGGTTCGTTAAGACATTAATTTTATTTCAGTAACCTTTGTTAGGAAAAGTTGTCAAATTCAATATTCGTTCAACAAGCCAATCGACGTATCCAACTCGGTTAGACAACGTTCGGGAGATAACGACAAATCATCTCCTCATCACGTATTGATCATAACCTCTGTACCAGTGCGTATTACCAATTATGATAATATATGGAACTAGGACGTAGTCAGTCCATCATTGGTCTTTATACCAACTATGGGGAGGGCTACGCTCAATTCGGAATTTTTCTGTGGTAATATTCGTAACTTATCCCCGTTGAGCTATCAGTAAGTGAAGTGGAAAAGAACTGATAATACCTACGACTCCAAGATCTGGTAAGCGATGGCGAAGAAACTAAATAGAATGATAACACACGCAGATAGCTTTTTAATGCAGATTGCTTAGGACTACGATTACTTATATCGATGATGATGAACCTTTTTCAAGATTGAAATATGTGAAAATAAGTATATCTTGAATATTATTAATGTGTAGTTAATGTACCAACTATGTTATTATGTTATGATGATTAATATAGTTGCTGGTCAGGTAGGTACCTACTGTATTTTGATATGGTAAATAATAAGTAACAACTAAATACATGAACAAGAAAAAAGCATTTCAATGGTGAAGGCACTATTTTATGTTCTCAGGTGAATGTGGGTAAAAGGGTTCAATGAATTCTCGGGACGTTAGAATTTGGTCAATAGTTATTATTAAAAGAGTGACAGCGAGTATTGTATGTTTACGGGTTACTATAGCAACGATTGAATTGATAAAAATCGAGTTAACCACACCTCGGCCTAGACAAAATGAACCAAGAGGCCTAGTTTAACGTTCAAGCGAGTGCTGAGCATGTCGTGTGGTTGGTTTAAAAAAGAAGATGAGCTAAATAAAAATATGTAGTAGTTAAATTATCGATTTTAAATCAAAATGTGATTAATTAAAGTATTCTTTATGCAAACAAATTAATTGTTAGTTAATAAAACTTGAATAATTAAGGTACATCGATTATAATCTAAATTAAAGTCATAATGTCCGTGAGAAGTGAAAAGGATATTCGAAGTTTATGGTGGATGCTTGTCGCAATACCAATTGTATCAGCCGGAATAGCTTGCTTAAGCAATCCTTGTCTTCATGGAATTTGTATTGATGATCTCAACAGGTAAATATAGCAATATCGTTTTCTTATAGTTCACATAAGCAACTACACTGCCATAATTAAAAAACAAATTCCCTATTACTTTTTAAACGATTATAAGTTAGTGTTTGACTACTATCGCGTAAAGCGCACTAATTTTGTTAACAAAACCCTATTCACTCATGCCTTAAACACACGTACATTGTAATCGGATGGAAAGATGGCAAATTATTTCACTTACTTGCTAAACGAATTATGAAATAAAAAGCAAACCCTTTTTATGAATAGAAAAGGTTTGAATTCGTAGTATGTTGAGAACGAACTGGTGGAGACCAGCCACTTCTATACACTGTAGTCCTATGATGGAACTGAAAGGGAAGAAGTCATGCAAACTGGCTGGCTGGCTGACTGGCTGCTTTGCGCCTCTGCTCGAGTGATGGTATTAACCATATAGGTGTCCCCTATAAGTCTCTTAGCTTAGCTCTTTTAATTGACTCCAAAGGCGTCGGTAGCATAGTGCAGCACCAGCCCATGTATGACAGCAATACTCCATGTACAACCAGACTTAAAGTAAAAGTTACAGCCTATATACGTCCCACTCCTGGGCACAGGCCTTCTTTTATTTCCGAAAGCCTGTTCAACCAGACTTGGCCTTTATATATTGTAAGCAACTTTCCTGGGGTAAAGTATCCACCCTATTTCGGTATGATATCCAGTATAACTTGTCCTCCGGTTCTAGAATCTTCTCGTCTAACAGTCAATGAGTGTGCGTTATGGTTGCGAGATCCAATTATTATGGTGGTAACCAAACTTTCGTGGGAGATTATTCGCACTAATAATAATATCATTATTATCATCATCACAGCCAATTACAATTCCATTATTGAACATAGACTACACGCAAGGAATGCTACACAGCGTGGTCTTGAGCCGCCTGCATTCAACGACCTCCTGCATCATCTCTAACCAGGTTCATCACTCCATCTAGTAGGGGGTTGCCCCACGCTTCACTTACCAGCACGAGGCTCTCAATCCAAAACTTTTCTCCCCTGACGGCCCATTGTCACTTCAACTTACTGATCCATTGGGCTTTGTCATTATAGTCTTTGGTCTTTGTCGATTACTCCAGTTTTACTTTAGATATCTTTATACTTTTTTATAGTACAGGGGGCAAACGAGCATGCGGCTCACCTGATAGTAAGTGACTACCGCCGCCCATGAACAACCGCAATACCAGGGGAATTGCAGATGCGTTGCCGGTCTTTTAGAAAGGAGTAAGCTCTTTTCTTGAAGGTCCCTAAGTCGTACCGGTCCGGAAAAGTCGCCGATGGTAAACAATTCCACAAAGAAGTTGTACGAGGAAGAAAACTCCTAGTAAAACGTACAGTAGTGGACCGCCCAGTATCCAGATGGTGAGGATGATATCGGGAATTTTGACACGATGTGCGTTTGAAAAATTTGGCGGCTGGAACTAATCCGAACAATTCTTCAGAACACTCCCTATGGTAAATACGATTGAAAACGCAAAGCGATGCAATATCCCTACGCAGCGCCAGTGAGTCGAGCCAATCAGAAAACACTCGGTCGTCAACGATTCGAATCGCTCTGCGCTGGATGCGGTCAAGTGAAAGGAGCTGGCACTGGGGTGCTCCTGCCCAGAGATGAGAACAGTATTCCATGTGAGTCCGAACTTGCGCTTTGTAAAGTTGCAAGCGATGTGCCGGCATGAAATACTGTCTCCCTCTGCTGAGCACACCAAGCTTTTTAGAGGCCAATTTAGCCTCCCCCTCCAAGTAACCACAAAACTGCACACTATTCGATATGTCGACGCCGAGGATTCTGATGCTAGCTGAGGAGTGCCTTCAAACTGAGGAGATGCGACAAAGGGATTCTTTTTAGCGATTATATATACCGCGCAATCTTGTGTCTTCTGAGGGTTAAACTGGACTAGATTTAGTCATCCGCAATCTGCAGACTTAATGTTCTTACACAAGTTACTGCATAACAAAATCAAAAGTACGCAACTCCTCGATCACATTAAATTAGTTATCCCGTACAGATATCCTCGATATCCAATTCGCAAACTATTTAGCATAACTTGCCACAAAACTAATTTAGGCGCGCATTATCCCCTAGCCAGAGTATGTAACACATACAATGTAATTATGACCAAGATACCGGACATCGACATTTTCAACGACTCTGCCCGACGCTTCAAAAAAAAATTGACCAATTTCTTTTCACCCTCTCAGCACACACTCATTCCTTAGTTAGTTTTTTTTTTAATGTAAGTTTTGTTTTGTATTCAGTGCCATTGTGGTATAATGAGCTGCACATTACGGTAAATGTTGTGTATACCTGTAATTGGCACACAACATTTGTTATTGTGTTGTTGTTAATGTTTAATGTGTTTTGCTGTTGGTGTACCTTATAAGTAAATAAATAAATAAATAAATCTGAGACATTGTTCAGCAAAGACTTCAGGCACAAGTTTGTCCCGGTATTCGGAGACGTTTTCTCAAAAAATATTGGTACGGCCGGTGTACCAGTAGTTTCTCAACAATTTTACCTATGTGCTCCGACTTTGCCTTGGCAATGACTATTTTGAAGGACCTGGAGGCAGAAATATACTTCTTTTTTGGGACGCTGGTGTTTACATCCCGGGACATTGATGCCTCAGCCCAGGCTCGGTTACTACCGATGATGGGACCCAGGATATACTCCTGCTTATAGCATGATGCTATTTTACATGAGCGACTAAACCATGCCTGAGATCTGCCTACGATGGGCACCACAGAGGACGGAATAAAAAGTTCCATACCCTGAAGTACCACATCAGCGACAGGATCAGCAACATCGCTAGGATCGTCCGGCGAGAAGCAAAGCCGCCCCCAAGTGTGGGATGCAAAAAAAGACTGCATCCCATCCCAATCGGCTGACCTATAGAGCCAAACACGGCGGCAGCCTGTATAATGCAACCGCAACGTTAATGTGACTGGCACCACAGTCCGACGAGCCTAAAGGGGCGTCGACGGAAACCTGATATCCGTCCGGATGAGAAGTCAGCGGAAGGTCCAACAGGGAAGGTGTATGATCTTCCACATCTGGAATCCGCGTAGGCGCAGTAACCAGTTGTGTCAGACCATATGCCGAAGCAAAGTCATAAACAGATCTCCCCGCATGATCGGTTAAACGTGAACCGAGCCATTCGGCGTGGCGGGCGTCGCCAAGGATCATGATCTCTGCGGATGGGATCTGCTGTAGCACGGAATCTGTAGCCATTTGGACGTGGTCAAGGAGTCGGTCTGTTTCGGTATTAGCGCTATCGGACCTATCGAGGCACCCGTAGATGCGTGGTTGGTCATCGCTGTCTACGCGCAACCATAAGATGGACATGTTCGTACCTTCAAGACTGCCGAGGCGTTGAAAACAGATGTCCTCTCTGACGTATACGCAAACTCCAGCCCGTGGCACAAAGGAATGTTCTAATTTGTACCCCGGGTAGGAGAGATACGAAGTATAAGCCGGAGAGGACACCTGAGTCTGGGTTAAAAAGAGCTTCGCTGTCTCCAGATGGTAGTAGACAGCGTGAAGGTTGGAATGAAGTCCCCTGATGTTGCAAAAATTGACGGATAGCGTGGCAGGGGTCGCCTTGGTTTTGTTGCTCCGCTTGCCCCGTGTAGTTTTTGTCGCGAGCGGAATTGCGCTCCACCCCCAGAATATGCGGAGCAGCCTGATCACCCACGCTCAGGAAGAGTAGGATAACTTGGTCGTGGATACTCAGAGGGAGGAGGAGAGGGATTCTCCGTCGCCAAAGGTGCTGGTACCCTCCTGGGGTAGATCGTCACTTAATTCCGCTACCAAGTTATGTGGAGGGGCGGGGGGAGGAATTGGGCCACCTGCACTCACCAAGCGAAACGCAGAGGTAACTCCCTACTTTACGCTGGTGTTCTCTGAGGTCGTGGTACCGCCCCGGTTTGAGCCGGCCCATCTGTGCGACAGCAAAAGCTGCCGCAAAGAAACTTTGAGGATAGCCCTCTCTATAATTTTCTGAGAGACCAGCAGTAAATGACCACGAGACTAGGACTTAGATCCATATATTATCACTGGCAACTTTAAGTTGGAGAGCAACACACAGTGGTCGTACACTATTGTTTTTAAGTTTTAAGGTATACGTGAGAAGAAGGTGTATCGAAGTCTCCCGAACGCCATCATACCAACGCAACTCCATCTTCACCCGGGGTCTTGCCGTTTTTAAAGTACTAAAGGGTCATGCTTACCAAGCTAATGTCCAGGATATTATCGGAATAGTTTCGGATGGGACTTGCTTTTGGACAGAGCAGTAGCAAAGACTTGGGAACCTTGGTTTTGCTCAATCACTTCTTCAATACGAGCTTTATGGAATTTGCGTAAATCTCACCTTGCGCATTTGGAAATCCGTCTGCTCAATTGCCTATACGCCGACATATCTGTTGAAGATTGCAGCTTCATTTCCCTTGTAACAGCATTGAGAATATGTAAGGTTAAATTGTAACTGATGTGTGAAAAATAGTCTAATTATATACATAGCCGTAGTTATACATATAGTAGTATATAAATAGTGTATAATACCAATCTACTCCACTTTTTATTTGAGTGTACCGAGTTTGGTGATTCTGAGTATAAATTACGCAAACCTTGACGACACACTCCTCATCTTTATAACGTTGTTAACTAAAGAATTATGGACAATTAAACCGACAAGTCCTTGGTACCGATGATGCAGAGAATAATCGTGTCCTTCCATCCTCTCTCATATAATTCTATAACATCTTAGTGCAACTTTTTGGGTACATGTGTTAGCTGTAAACAGGTCGAGTCATCGAAGGTGCCAACCGAAACCCCACAGGTCCGCTGCTGAACGTAGGTCTCCCCCAAGGAATGCCAAAAAGCACCGTCCTGAGCCACCTGCATCCATCTTCTTCCTACATATCTTACCAGGTCGTTACTCGATCTAGAAGGGGGCTACCCTATATTTCTCTTACCGGTACTAGAATGCCACTCGAGAACCTTTCTTCGGCATCGGTTGTCTTTCTTTAATCTATATGGCCGTCCCATTACCACTTCAGTCAGGTATCTATAGTTGGTTCAAAGTTTTGTATATATTTCCAACATCAGTCGGTTACAATGCTTCGTCAATCAATTAACCATAAAAAAGATGAAAAATTCACCCTTACACTCTTAATTGATTTTATTTAATTATATTTGTATTGCTGTGAACGGTTTTAATACTGTTTTTTAGTTCTTACCTTATAAATTTCGGTTTTAAATAGAAAATTTAAACAATCCTTTTTACAATAGAAACATGGGTCATAATTGCCGGTGCACTGTTGAATTTAATTGAATGTAATTTAAAGAAAGTACGCAGATGCCGCTGTTATGGAAATTCCGGGGAATGAAATCAATGAATCTATTTCACCGGAGTTGTTTTTCCAAAATCCGTATAAAATGGATATATTATCAGGTTTGGCAAATACAGTGGATGAAGAAAAGCTTCTAGTCAAGAAGCACTAATGATACAATCACAAATAATGAGGATTTCCGTAGTAGAACTCAAGTGGCAAGGGGCAAGACATATAGCTTTTTTATAGAATAAGAGTGGTAAACGAACACAGTCCACCTGATGGTAAGTGGATGCTGTGGCCCATTGGCATCTACACCTACCCACGATTAAGAATCAAAATGCAGATGCGTTATCACCCCTGAGGGGTAAGATGAAATGCCTCGTTTCAGGTGTCAGCAATTAAGTTTGTAATTTTTAAAGCTGTGGCGCTGTATACCATACCCACTTTTGACTAATACTTAATTATAATATAATGAAAATTTTATGCGGAAAATAGAAGAAAAAAAGGAAGAATTTAAAGTTATGTCATTCAATAAACAAGCCTAAACCACGGAGTAGATACTGATAATATTCCGTGGCCTAAACGCAAAATGAACGAGTTTTTTAATTTACATTTTTTACATATGCGAAGAATCAACATTCGCGGGTGTGAAACTGAAAGAGGATATCTCTTAAATCCCAGATTAAGCGAACAGCAGTGAAACCGTTATAGTGTACTTTACAGGGTGTTGCTATATTAAAATTTTGGTGAAATTTGACCGTTGATATTAAGATAGGATTACCCGATAATCCGATCGGTACTTTTGTTTCACGTCTAGCCATGGTTTAACGATATTACTTTGTTTTTAAACTGTAACAGATTCCTTTTGCTGTTAAATTCTTTGTTTGAGGTTAGTTGCATGTGTCATTGGACTGCAGGAGCCATTTCTGATCAGGTGGACTGTTAGTGACATCAGTTTAATGTTATAAAAAATCAACATATTTACTAATTTAAAAAAATAATATCATGTATTATATTATCCTCAGTACGTACATGTGCTATTGCATAGACGGTTATACTGGAGTACAATGTCAAACAAACTGGGACGAGTGTTGGTCGGATCCATGCCAAAACGGAGGCACCTGCATTGATGGTATTGCTTCATATAATTGCTCTTGTCCTGAGGGATTTATTGGTGAGTGATTTTAAGAGCATATTTATAGGTTAAATAAAAAGTTTTTATAATCATATTATTTTCCAGAAACATTGTTTAAGGTCATACTAAGACTAGACTTGATGTGATTCGGCACGCATTTTTAAAGACAACAACAGACTAAACCTAGTACTTATTCTCTATAGACGACTTCTTCAAGCATCTGCGCATTGAGTCGTGTCGCATCTGAGTGTGATTTTTTACCTATTATAGCTCAGTTATAGTAGAGATTTATACAAGTTTATCACTAGCAATCCGCCCGGCTCCGCATGGGTGATTTTTGGATTTCGACAACATATGCATGTATTATACATACATGTAAGCCTTCCTCTTGAATCATTCTGTCTTTAATGAAAACCGCATCAAAATCCGATGCGTAGTAAAAAGATAAGCGTACACACGGCGCGGCGGTAAGCGACTTGGTATTATACTATTTAGAAAAGACTACGATACACAAGCATTTGAAAAAAGAATGAAATTTTCAGATCGTTATGTAGCGTGCGGAGACTGCTCCCCTCTCCAAGTACACATATCATAGTTCCTTTTATTCACCACAGTTACAAAATTCTTGTATATTTTTTCGGCTTTTGCGCCTTGATGTCATCCTGGGGTGCCCTTTGGGTCGGTAATTTATTTTATTTTATGTGGTCCAGTTTATTTTATCCTAGAGATGCAATGTAGTGGCGGAATAAGTATATCCACTAGCCGATATTATTCCGTGGGTGTCGTTAAGGGCGATACAGGAAAGAAACTGGGAGGTGGGCAGCAACGCCTTCTTAATAAGGCTGTTGCCAACCCGCCTGCCAAGCGTGCCAATTATGCCAAATGAGGTAACGGAGGTACGAAGAAGACCTATTCCCTGCAATGGGCTTTGATAGGCTATAACGGTAACATTAACGGCGTTCAAAAGTCCATGCCAGGGCTGCCTTTGTTTGAGTTGCCAGTACTATAAAAAGAAGTTTTAAAAGTAACTGCAATTTTTGGTAAAATAGATAAAAGTTTTAGAAATAGAATAAATTTGTCGATTTATTGTTTTGTTTACACTTTTACTAAACAAATCTTAAGTAAAGATATGAGATAAAAGATATCAGTTAAATGATTCCTAATATTGCCTTGAACAATTACAAAGTCTGTCGTCTCTCTGTGACCGTGTATTGATTGGCGGTGTAAAAATATTATCTACCCCATATCGCCCCGTAGGTGTTGTAAGAGCACAGCCCTTCACAATTTCACTGCTGAACTCGCCCTCGCCCAAGGAATGCCACAAAGCACCGTTCATAGACACCTGCATCCATCGACTTCTTGCATGTCTTACCAGAGGCGACAGAGGTAAATAAACCAGATGACAGTCTTCCTAATAAGAAATTAAAAAAAAAACTGCAGTTGCCAACCCGTCTGCCAAACGTGGCAACTATTGCAAATATCCCCCTTATGGGACAATCTTCGGGGTAGGCCTATGGTCAGCAGTGGTTTTTTTTTTTTTTATAGAAGAGGGGGCAAACGAGCATGTGGCTCACCTGATGTTAAGTGATCCGCCGCTGTCAACGCAAGTGGTCTTTAATAAACGGTAACAAATGGATAATGGATTATAAATTTTTTTGTACTATTTCAAACCAGCGCTTGACTGCTATCCCACTTGATGATAAGTGGTGATGCAGCCGAAGATGATGAAGCGCACCGAAATAACAAAAGCCTATTCACTCTCGCCTTTGTAACCTCCCTACATTTGTAATCTTATGGAAATATAGATGTTGGCAACATACTTCCACTCCTTTGTAGTACGCATGACGTACGATCAACAACGACGCAACGAAAGGGCTGGCTGAGGCGCCTGATTGTCCGATGGTGGAAGGGAGAGTGAGGAGTGAGGAATTAAGTTATGCAATTCCTGCGCACATTACGAAATGCATTCTGTAAAAAAACATAAGGCAAGCTACTTTGCGTCTGTGTTCGAGACTGGTGAGCTTAGATTTAACCAGACTCGGGAATCCCCATGAACTCTTAGCACGCCTTTCCGTTGAGTGATTTCATTAATAGTCTCAGTGTTATCTATTTTTATGCCTACTCATTTTACTACTTAAAAGAGGTCATTAACCTTTATAGTCGGGAACATTCTCGTACAATGTGACGCAATACACAACTGGCTGTCGTAAGCTCGTAAGCAGTAGCAAAGTATCGCCACAACTTTGCAAGGACTCTTAACTCCCTTGCAGTTGCTTTGGCTTTGGACTCGATGAACCGCCCGAAGTTCAGGTTTAAAAAATCTAAGTTTAAAGAATGATCCGTATAAACCAGCGATACATTTCGGAAAGAAGGAACTAAGGTGAACTGGCTCCTTTTTGCAGTGAAAATACACGCTTGTGTTTTGGAAACATTGGAATCCTAGAAAATTATTTACTTTTGCATTTATTTTAACATCAAATTAAAACTACTTGATTTGGTATTATTAGCCATATAACTAATAGAGTAGGCTACGACTATTCATTTATTTTAGCCTATTAAATGTGCATTCGCTAATTATAGACGTAGGTAGTGGTTTTCGTTGCGGCGCCACTCACTATACGACGAAGTCAATATCGACACACTGTTATTAAAAACTTGGTATTTTCATTCAATAACATAATTTTTGAACCATGAAAGGTAAAAAAATTTTTTTTTTTTTTATAAATTTAATCAAATCACAGCCTCGTACGTATTTTTATGTCTTTGAACATATTAAGCCGGGGGAAAAGTTTCTTCGTATTTTAAAATATACAAATTCAAGACGTTTTTTCTAAGTTTAATTACATTTAATTATAATAATATACTGGGTGATTTTTTTACTGTCTGGACAAAATAGGGTGTAAGAGATGAACGGAATAGAAGCTCATGGGGCTGATATTTATCAATTTTTTATTTTATTTTACAATAACATATTATAATTTGTAACAATAAATCCCATCAAAAACATAAATATGAAATGAGAGCCAAGTTCAATATTATGATATATGCCTTGGTTGTTGACTACAACGACAAAAGAAGTGAGATATAAATGGGTGCCAAGTTCAATGGTCAGCCCTGAAATGTATTTATAACAACATAAAATATCGTTTCTTCTTATAACTTAGGATAATATGTTGTAACCTAAGATCTGACTTGGCTAGTTCTCATATACGAATTATATTATTGCATATATACGCATTTTCTGTTTATACTTAATTTGGTCAAGTCGCGGCGGTATAACACGCGCAGATGCTTGTACTCTACAATAGAGCTGTCTTGTGACTTGATTTGATTTGTATTCCATGTGAACATATACATTACTTAATATCTGAAACGGCGATCGCATGGAATAGGCAGCTTCCGTCGGGAGGCATTGGAATAATTCGGTGTAAGGTAAGTGTGTCACCCAGCCGTAATTCTATTGTACGACCCATTGTACAATATACGTAATAAATGGATAATTATTTAAGATGATTACATAACAAATTACCTGTTATCTATTGAATTCTGAAGAAAATTTGTTACCCTACCAATAAGTTCTCATTCTCAAACTCATTCAGAGTTAGGTATACATACCTACTTATAACTTTACTAAAATTATTATTAATTTTTGATTTAAACTATTTCCTATACCATCTGGACACGCGGTGCGTACTTACTAAAAGAATTGTAATAATAATATGACCACAAATATATAAGTATTTTTTAAGAAAACCCATTAATTTCGTAGCATAAATCGCCACCTCATAGGTCAGATATCGAGAGACAACCGGACAGCAAAACGGCGCTCGCGTTTATGAGCACTGCTGCCAGTGCCACCTGCCACTCGCTCGGACCTCGGACACGTTCGCGTCAAGGTTTTATCGCACCGCTCCCACCCGCTCCTCCAGTGGAGTACCGCGCGCTCTGTACATGTTCCTAATAGAATCAATTAAGTGAAAAATTATAATAAAATGATAAAAATTTATCAGTTTCTGATTTATTCCTTTGTATTCACCTATTTACCTATCTGCATGCCAAATTTGAACTTTCTAGTTCATTTGGAACTGGGTTAGAGTTTTGATCTATAGGTCAGTCAGTGATAAAAATGACGATTTTTAGACGTTAATATCTAAATAACCGTTTGAGATGTGTTTACGAAATTTGAAGTACATATATATCTTGCAAGTCTCAATATATGTGCCAAATTTGAAACGTTTATGTGAAATAGTTTTTGAGTTATGAGAGGGTCAAAAGTGGCTCCAAATGGTTCGTGTAATATACACACGGTGCGGCTCGCCGTTCTGCGTGAACTTGGCTTGACACGCTACCGCGTGTCTAGATACCACAAATAAGGTACGTATTATTTTTTTTCTAATGTTCCAAAAAAAACAAAGAAACGGGAAGGGGAAGAGGTTTTTGGTTTTTCCCCCTTTAAATGGGGTGTCATTATTTCGATAGTAATTAAATTATGTTGTTATTTTAGTATGTACCGAAAGCTTATTTTAAATTAGTAGTATTTATTGATAGACCAATTTCATAATAATATGTTAAAGTAAAATAAAAAAGTAAAATATCAGTGCCATAGGCTTCTATTCCGTTCACCTGTTACATCCTATTTATTCCAGACGGTAAAAAATCACTAAGTATATGTGCCATTTTGTTCGATAAATTGTTGCCATCTTGTAGGTTAATCCCATTGCTATAGAAATCTTGGGATTTTTGATGAACAAAATGAGACAAGTAGTTTTGACAGTCCTCTTTGGATGTTAACCTAACACTACCCAAAGAATTCTGAAGAGACCGAAACAAGTGCAAATCTGAGGGTGCAAGGTCCAGGACTATATGGTGGATACATTAACACTTCCCAACCAAGCTCTCTCATTGTTTGCTGAGTGACCAAGGATGTGTGTGTTTTGGCGTTATCATGATGAAAGACCACTCCTTTTCTGTTGACCGATGCCGGCCGTTTTTTCTCAATTTCTTGCTTGAGTCGTATTATCGATATATCGATTAGTTGTCGGCAGTAGAGATCCGAATCGATGGTTTTACCCGGCGGTTAAAACTCATAATACACACAGCATCACTTATTACGTGTTAATCCCGTTTTCGCTACAGTCCGTGGAGCTTAACTACTATTTGAATTTTACCATGACCTTTTTCGCACGGCGGCTTTTCAATGGCGGGAAAGTGTTCTTTGCTTTTACTTTCTTTTAATGGATTAATATTAAAACCAGCCAGCTACAAACAGTACAACCAAAGAGATTTTTCTTCAATTTTATACAAAGAAAATACGAAGAAACATTTTCCCCGACTTATTATTCATTATTTAAGTCAATTTTCTACTAGAGTTAACAGTCGGTCCAGGGAATTGTGTGACGGCTACCGTTACTCTTCAAACCGCGTGTGTGTGTGTATGTGTGTAGTGCCTTGTTGTAGGGGAAACTGAAAATTGAAAATGACCCCTATGTGTATTTATATTTCTTTATTAACTAATTTTTATTGACTTTAAATTTAACCTTACCTATATTTGGCAAGTGCCGTGGTAGCTTAGATGGTTAACGCTCGCTGTAAATATAACAGAACGCGAGTAACCCGGGTTCGATCCCCGCCGGCAGCTATGAAATTGTTTATTTGCAATTTTAAGTGCTGATTTACCACGTGCTCGGCGGTGAAGGAAAACATTGTGAGGAAACCTGCATGTCTGAAGAATAAGAAAAAAAATATTTCGAAGACATGTGTAGTTCGCCAACACGCTCTGGGGCAGCGCGGCGGACAGTTCCTTGCCCTAAAACCCTGTCAGAAATGAGGGGAGGCCTGTGCCCAGTAGTGGGACGTATGTAGGCTGTAACTTTAACTTATTTAACTTTTTTATATTTGGCAAATTTTTGTCTCGACTGTACAGGTGAAAACTGTGAAACGAACTTCAACGAATGCGAATCCAATCCTTGTCTCAACAATGGGACATGTATCGATTTGACGAACGAGTACGTTTGCCACTGTGTTCTTGGATTCTCTGGGCAGCACTGCGAAGTCGACGCGGCAGTGTGTAACTCTACCGACGAAGTGCGCTGTCACAACGGAGGCCAGTGTGTTGAGGGACCTGGATATAAGTTCTACTGCAGATGCTCGCAAGGTGAGTGTTTTTAAAATGATAAATTTATAAGCGAGCATCGTTGGTTACGTTGCAAGTAAAAAGTGTGTCCGATTCTCGTTTCTTACCATATGTAATATACTGCTATTTTGTGAGAACGTGTAGTTGCGTAAGAATATCCACTAACCCATGTCATCCCTTGGATGTCATAAGGGGCGACAGAGGGAAACAAATCTGGAGATGGTCAGTAAAAAAAACGACTAACAATAAAAAGCTGCGGTTGCCAACTGGCTTACCAAGCGTGGTAACTGTGCCAAATATCTCCCCCCCCCCCTCACCTACGAGGCAATCTATGGGGGAGGCCTATGTTCAGCAGTGGACTTTATTTATTTATTTTTATTTAAACTTTATTTTTATTATTTTTTATTTTTACTTCAATAGTCTGTAAGCTGTAACGGTAACGCTAGCGGACCTTCCAAGTACTACAGTAATACAGTTGCAGCGCGACTCTACCCCATAGAGTATTTAACAAAAATGCACATTCAAAATATCACCGGCCTAGACATAAGAGAGAGTGGAGGCCTATTGTAGTGAAGGCCTTACGAATATATTTTTATGTTTTAGAATTAAGCTATAATTTCAGTTAATGTACCTAAACTTCCAAACGTCTGAATAATCTGAAATTTTGAAGACGTGTCAACATGACAACGCAATAATTTCATAACTATATTCTCACTAGGATTATACCATCACTGCTCATGATAGATGAGGGTTGTTTAAGTTTTTTTTTTAATTCCAATACGTAAAAAAATACTTACTTAGCCGTCAGCCACCATAGAGTCTACTGTGACTGAGTCTATAGTACTCGTGAGGATGCCTCGTGTAGAGGCGAAACACGTTTCGTATTATCGTCTATGGTGTATCTTTCCTAGTGTAGTTTTGTTAGGAGAAGTGGTGCTGGGATTTGTGGTGACGGGATTAGTGCACGCAATTGAGGGAGGGCGGGAAGTGCTCTTCAAACTAGGTAAGACACATCATTTTATTTTATTGAGCGGATGTGTGCGAATTAATACTGCCGTATAGTAATTATCCTCGCATGCTATCTCTGATCGGGCAAGAAAGGTTAGGACGAAGTAAGAGCATGGGCACTTGTACGATATAATGTCCCCGATAAAGTTCACAGCTTTGATTTTTCAACCAAACTGAAATTCGATGGCCGAAATTAGACTACGAAGACGACTACATCCACTGACTCGAAGTGGAATAATGTTACAGTGAACTAAAAGGTCGTTGTCATTGTCCACTATTAAATTGCTACACTTTACACAATAAGAAGGATATTATTAGTAGGGTGGGATAGGGGTAGTAAATAAATGAACTTTCTTTGCTTTTTTTACTAGGAAAGGGGATACGAGCACACAGTCAACATGAAAGTAAGTGTTTGCTGTGGCCCATAGACATCCACATCTATCCTCGAATCAATATCAAAATGCAGATGCGTTGTCAGCCTGACGACTAAGATGGAATGCCTCGTTTCCACTGATATAGGTCTCTGGTTCTCTACACTCACCATCCGAAACATTACAGCGTTAAGCTGCCATTTTACGCTGGTATTCTGTGAGAGCGTGGTCCTTCCCCTGTCAAGCTGACCCATTCGTGCACCAACTGTAATATAGCTATATTTTAATTCAGCTATATTCGGGGCTATATGATATCTGGAGGCGTCACGCGGGCAGTCAGCCCACTTATCGTTGAACCCGTCACCGAAGTTTATAGTCGCTCTTATCGATATAGACCAGGATATCGTTTGCCTTGTCTAAAATACATAAAACGGCTAAGGTGTGCGTGCAATGACGAATGACGATAAAAGTAAATTACAGTTCTAAGGGATTGTTGCTCAACTCTGGATAGTTAATGAACTGATTATGGGTCAATGAAAGTAAGATCATAATTAAACGGCCTTCACACGACAGACAGCTGGGCCCCAATTCCATAGAAGTAAGGCTGTCCCAAACAGCGACGAGATAAAGACCACAGCGGTGCTCCAATTCGTGTTGGCGGAGTTCACGTGCTCTCGAAATAGTTTTAATTGTTCAGACACGCCGGTTCCATTATGAATGTTTTCTTTCACTGTTGAGCACTTGATAAATCAGTAACTTACCAACTACTAGCTACTGTCCCTAAACTACACGACTCTTTAATAGTTTTTTTTTAAATAACTCCTATACCAATGCAGGTTGGGCGGGTAAATTCTGTGAGGATCAAATAGACGAATGTGAATCGAACCCATGTCAGAATGGAGGCATGTGCATCGACATACACGCAGACTACATGTGTGCTTGTGCTTATGGTAAGTTCATTTGATGTAGACTATATTTTTTCAGCGTTTCTTGTTCTACGAAATCCATATTGTACCGAGACCGGTTGGATAATTAGAGACTTAAGAAATTAAGACGAAAGAAAAGTATGTACCATTTGAGAATACCAATTCCACAAACGGCCGATCACAACTGTCCAATGTCCTTAATGTCCGCGTACGACCTCTCTGTGGAATAGTTTACCACCGGCGATTTTCCCGGACCGATACCACCTGGGGACCTTCAAGAAAAGAGAGTACTCCTTTCGCCGACCTTCATCCCTGGTGTTGCGAATGTTCATGGGCGGCGGTAGTCACTTAACATCAGGTGAGCCGCATGCTCGTTTGCCCCATCTTCTATATATTAAAAAAAATGTTCATACGCAGGAGTAGCCTATGGTGCAGCTTTGTGTTAATTGGCAGATAATGTTTTTAGCATTAAGTCCGCCTTTTGATCCTGTAAAGTACTATCAAGTTCAGCCTATCTAACCTATCCTATCTAACCTAAGTCGACGTTTTGAACAAAACTTAAATATTATTTTATATACGCTTTTAATTCAAAATTTTGTCATTAATATTACCTAAACATATTAATAAAAATTATTTATCTTTTAAGGATTTACTGGTAAAAGCTGCGAAGTTCAAATTGAATTCTGTGATGAAAATTCGTGCAGTAATGATGCATTATGTGTTATTGAAGACGGCACGAGAGTTTGTTATTGTGTACCAGACTACCACGGAGAGCGGTGTGAACTGCAATACGACGAATGTTTACTCGGGCCAAGGTTAGACATTTATTATGTAGCTAGACAAGTTTATAGGTAGAAACAAAAACTAATAACACTTTTGTAAACTAGGCAACATAAAAATTCATAACTCTGCTTTATCAGATTATTATTTAGTAAACCCGTTACGCTCAATTTACACTGCTGCGGAACGGAATGGAAGCGAATTTTGTAACGAAATTGTACATAGTAAAATAAGTCTTATGTTAATTGTGTAACGTGCAAACTAGATATGTGCCAAAAAAGAAGTCGCGAGTCGAGAATTCCCCGGAGGACGCGCGATTTCTTTAATTAGCAGTGTAAATTGAGCCTAGGCAGGCGGATTTAGGAACGCAGTACCGGCACCACATCATGTCTTGCAACTTTCATTTCATGGCACTGCCTGTCGTCGGCCTGGATGTTTTATATTGTATTTACAATAGTAGACTTTTGGGACATCCACCGGATGAAATATAGTGGTGGTGTTAAGGCACTTCAAAACAGCATCCTAAAATAAAAAAATAACTATCTATGAGAACAAGAAAACTACGATGCGGTTATGTGAGAGATGTCCTGAACATAGCACAATATACATGCAACATAGCACAATAAGTATGCGTTTTCCACACGGTGTGGCAACATCGCCATTAGATAACGGACATCTACAAAAACAGACTTGCCTTACACTGGGAGGTGTTTAATACGTCCAAAGCGGTAGTCAAAAAAGGCATGTTGTGATTTTAATGAAAATATACACTCTACGTTTACAACAAATAGCCCAAAACAGTATTTATCTTTGTTGAACTTCTAAAAAGACAACGATAAGCGTTCTGCACGAGCAGAATGATTAGATCGTACCGATTGATGGTCACTAGCAGTGAATATGGTAATAATAATACGACTATATAAAATCAATATTACAATATTAATTGTGTCTTAATATTAACGTTCATTTTCAGGTGTATGAATGGAGGGACATGTATTGATGGTGTGGATAACTTTACCTGTTCTTGTCCGCCGAATCTAACTGGATCATTGTGTGAATGTCTAATATTAGATGACAATAACTACGACTGTGAATACGTTAGTCCAACGCCCTTGTTCAAAACTACATCGCCAATATTCCTAACGACACTTACGGAAGAAATGATAACCGATATAACAGTAACAACGCTACCGACGATTTACACTAACGCAACTTCTAAATATAGCACTAGTATGTCCACAGTAGCATCCGAACCTGAATTTTCAACTTTTCCCGCAACTGACTTTACATCAACTACAGAAGTCGCTTCGTTTAGTACTGCAACATCAATAAGTGAAAAAACAACAAGACAAGAAACGACGGTATTGACGTACACAACTACACCAGAATCGGAAGAAACAACTACAATGACAACGGAAATTGCTACACTAGAAACGCAAACTCAAAAAACAATAAGACCTGATGATTCTAAAACAGATGTTCCCTTAGAGAATAAAGATAATAATGAAATAGTAACGGATTCTACCACACCATTTACCTCATCTGAAGAACTAGAAACTACGTTATGGGGCAACCAAACAACGATGAAGGAACTTACTCCATATCCAATAAACGTTACGATATACTCTGATCGTCAAACCGGAGCTGAAGTAACAACGTTAACCACAGAATTATCAACAAAAACTACACTAGTAGGAACAATATTGACACAGAAAATAGATACTACTACGGAAAAAATGTTTACCGACGTTCCTACGGAATATTTTGCGACCGATGCTTCTACAAGCTTTATAACAACTGATGCCGTTGAAACGACTACAAATTTTGATAAAACAACGCAGATCTATACTACAATACCGTCGGATTGTACTGATTATTTTTGTAACAACCACGGAAGTTGCGCAAATACTGTCCATGGTATTAAAGTAAGTACAGATTTATACACTTCTTAATCTTCTTCTTCATCAACCCACAAAAGTCTGTCCTAATTGGATATTGGTCTCTCCCGTTGTATGGACAACCTACCTTCATCACCACGACAAGCAGACAGTTTGGTTAGTTTTCTTCTTCTGTATGAGTTTATTAGTCTATTGAAGAAATGCCACTTTCTGTTAACGGATTAACAGTCGCATTACAATACGTTTGAAACTTATGGAGCTGTTTCATGCAGCTATCCTGTGTAGTTACGCATGATTTAAACGTGGTGGCAATACTTCCCTCCAACCAAAGCTATAAGGTCTTTCTGGCATATCCCAAAGTCGCCTTTTACTTTAATCGCGAAGGATCACGGTTAAACACTATTTATTTTTATTTGTATAAATATCTAATATTAACTAAAGCACATACTTTCCAACTTTGTATGATTGCAGTGTCATTGCTCGTTTCAATATGGAGGAAGATTTTGTGAAGAAAAACTGAATATAACAACTGCAGCATTCGGAGGCAGCTCTTATATTGTTCACCGTTTGAACAAAACCTCTTCCATTATTATTGGATTCAGTGCGAAAACTCTAATTTCGGATGGCCACATAATGCACGTGGATATAGCGAAAGGGGCATACATTGACCTATTTCTAAATTCAGGATTACTAAAATTTAAATTTTCCTGCGGTTATCAAACTATGCTCTTAAGTGAGTTAAAAACGTATGTAAACAAAGGATACCAGATGAAAATTGAAACTAGGTGTGGCATATTTTGTATTCGTAATTTAAAGTTTTTTATTGCTTTTATCTAACTCAGCTTCTGTTCTCAGGTTAGATCTATATTTAGAACAACAACATTGTAACGCAACCCTTCATTTGAACGACACAGTTGCCATGAGCGGTGGCCAATTTGCTAACATCAGTGATCTCGATCGAAACATTATGTTATTCTTTGGTAATATACTTGAAAGCAATTATACCGACAATAAGCCGTTTATTGGATGTATAAAGGACTTAATGGTAAGTAACACTACAAAGTAATAGGACGGGTAAAAAATATTCACTAAGTTTTTTGTTACTCCTAAGTATCACGAACAATTATTAGTAGGTAAGTATTATACTTACTTTTATCGTCTGACCTTATAATCACCAAATTAACAAAAATTTTGGAAAGCTTTTCAAATTTTTTGGAATATGATTATTTAGTAGAAGTTTAAAAGGCTAACTTGGTTTTTTTACAATAGCCATTACCTAAATTTTACAACGTACACGAGATGTTAATAATCTATCTTCTAATCTACCAGACGATAAATCTTACGTTAAAAAGTACACCTAAGAAAAATAAGCGTCTATATTATTAAGTTTTATTTCAAAAACGCTGACCAAAAATTAATGTTGTAGGTAGGTATTAAGCTATTAATCCTGACATCAACTTTGAGTCATTGTAATATCTTTAATTAGCAGGTAGTTCACTTGATCAAAGGCACAGGCGCAATCTTTCTATAATACTGTTAATTATGTTTGAATGTTCTTTAAGGTTAATAATGAAAGCCGGGAAATTTTTGGCGATGCGTTTAACGCAGGTGAAGTTTCGGAATGTTCTTCACTGTCTTGTTTGTCCGGACCATGCCTCAATGGCGGAACATGTAACGACCACGGTGATGGCTACACATGCTCCTGTGCGAATGGGTACGTGTTCCTCTGGTTTAACATTTGAATCGTAATACATGTATAAATTGTTTCAGAAGCACATTATCGAGTCATAATCAGTTATTGTTTTTTTCTGTCAAGAAATTCTCGGTATCAGCCCAGAGTCAAGGAATTGGCGGTGTTTCACGCCCGTGCCTTGGAAAGCACATAAAGCCGTTAGTCCTGATATTTCTCGGGTCGAGTCGGTATGCCTTAACTATGAGAGTGTGGGAATAGGCAATAGAGCAGTAGTGCACCTGTGCTTAAGCAAACACTCGTGCACTATAATCCTGTTCTACACAGATGTCTATAATAGTAGTCGTAATAGTAGTTATAGTATCCGTTAAAACTGGCCGTCGTAAATATTTGTACGAATATAATTCTACGTTAGTTTATTAACTGCCCCAGCCTCTCGCCAAAAAGCCCCGAGAACACCAGTGAAACGTAAAAATTAGTATTTTTGCAGTTTTATTCTCGCGTTCGCTTGTTCTCCAATCTCCTAGCGATTTTGGTTTTTTCGCCTCTTCAAAGGGCTTGCCGGACGAGTAAGAGAATACTATCTCATTCTTGTTCGGTCTCAGTGCGATAAAAGTGGTAGTATATTTAAGAAATAATTTTTTTAGCTTTAATTAATTTGCGTTAACCACCATCGTCGCCGTTTTTCTTAACTTTGTTTTTGTTTTTAACATTAATGAGATAGTTAGCTAAGGCACGCAATGCTAAAGCCGCCGCCATAAAAATGTTGTACATACCATATATGAACGAAATCGCAAAGAGAACATCGTGTGAGTGTAGTTTTTTTACCCGCATTCACGAGATATCACTTCGAGCCTACTCGCCGAAACTTCTCGACGTAAGACTGGCAGACCTCTGAGGAGTAGACGTTTTATATAAGGAAAAAGGTGTTAAGACGACACATCGAAAAGGCTGTCGCCGTACTGATCCGAGTGAATACATAATTTCTATAAAAACTTGAAAAAACGCCTTCATACGGTCTAAAATAGCGTAGCGCCCGCGCCGATTAAAAGCGCTTAGAAATTGTCAGAATCTTAAAATATTTTTTTTTAATTATTGATTTAAGTAATCAAAATAATGAGCAAGTAAATTATGAATATTGATGTTATGAATATATTTGAGTGATTCCCAAGCATATAGATTAAGTAATTTCGTTATAATTTCAAATATAGTGATTTTTTAGAGGTGTTTTCACAAATAATTATGATCGAGTCAAAATTATACAATCGTGTTTTTGAACAATCAAGTTCAAGATAAAGACATAAATTTACTTATATCAAAATTCCACTTTCGTCAGTGGTGTCATAGTCCTATACTATTCGATGAAAGGAGATGCATTTTTTCACGGTGTCGCCTTAAAAACAGGTCTAAAGTATTTTTTTTTTCAAAATTCTGTAATATCATAATTTCCATACTATTGTTGCGTTTCCTGCCATCGATGGTGTCAAGCCGAAAAGCTTGACACCATCGATGGCAGGAAAGAATGTGTGGAGAGAACATGGCAGAACCTTAGGGATGGAATGGTAAGTGCAGCGGAAGAAGTATGTGGTACGACAAAAAGAGGTAGTAGTAAAAGAAGAGATGCATGGTGGAATGATGAAGTGAGAGAAGCTGTAAAAAAGAAGAAAAAAGCATGGTTAGACTACTTGGCCTCTAGTAACGATGAGCATATGAGAGAGAAGATGAAAGAAAGATATAAGCTGCAGAAAGTTCATGCGAAAACATTGATTGAGGAAGTACGTGAAAGGTGTAGAATAGAAGCGGACGAGAGGTTGTCGCACACCTTTAGGGAAAACTCCAAACTCTTCTGGAAAGAGGTTGGAAGGTCCCGGAGTGGTGCGACAGCCTTAAGAATGAACAAAGTGCTTTCGAGAACCAATGACGTCCTCTCAGAAAAATCGGACGTCATGCAGCGATGGAGTGAATTTTATAGAGAAATGTATGCGTGTCATGATCTTAGTGAAGGATCCGGGGGTGACGCCGTGACTGGCACGCCAGACACGGACCTCGATGACACTGAGGTCACCAGCATGAAAGAGATTGAACGTGCGATTCGAAGTTTGAAATGTGGTAAGGCTGCGGGACTAGACAGAGTTACTGCTGAAATGGTCAAGTACGGTGGGCCTCGCGTCTGGGACAGCTTCCATCTGCTGTGCAATTTGTGCTGGCGGACGGGAGATGTCCCGGATGATTGGCGATCCGCGGTCATTGTGCCTTTATATAAAGGTAAAGGTTCACATTTTGACTGCGGTTGCTATCGGGCGATCAGCTTGACCAGTTTAGCAAGTAAAGTTTACTCGAAGGTTTTGACACGTAGGATGCAAGAGAAATCGGAAAGATTCTTATGGGAGGCACAATGCGGATTTAGACCTGGAAGAGGATGCACGGATCAAATGTTTTCTCTCCGCATGATCACGGAGAAGCTTCTGAGTGTTAACCAGAGGATTTTCTGTGCTTTTGTGGATCTGGAGAAAGCATTTGATAAGGTTATAAGGAAGAAAATGTGGGAACTGTTGCCGGGATATGGTGTGGATGGTCGATTGTTAAGGGCTGTGCAGTCACTTTACTATGACTGTAAAGCCTGTGTGCGGGTAGGGCATGACCTGTCACCCATGTTTAGCGTCCAAGCGGGCGTAAAACAGGGTTGTGTCATGTCTTCCTGGCTGTTCATACTGTATCTCGACAGCTGTTTACAGAAGCTGAAAAATAGCTGTTTGGGTGTGAAATTGGGTGACATAAAAGTTAATCGTCTGCTGTATGCTGATGCAGTGCTTATTGCACCATCAGAAGCAGAACTGCAGGCATTAGTCACGTGTATGAAAGAGGAATGTGAAATTAAAGGTCTCCGTTTGAATGCTAATAAAACTAAGGTTCTGGTATTTGAAAAGGACGAAGAGAGAACGAAATGTGAAATATGGGTAAATCAGGAATGTCTAGAACAGGTAAATGAAATTGTATACTTGGGGAGTGCTTTCAGCCGGGATGGAAGATGTGATTTAGATGTGGATAGGCGTGTCGCTGCCGGAAACAAAGTCAATGGTGCCCTGAATGCATTAGTAAAAAGGCAAGGCGTGGTGAAGAGTGCACGCCTTGCAATACATAATGCAGTGTTGGTACCGACTTTGTTATTTTTTAAAATTTTCTCATTGGGCGTAGATGGCAGCGAAACCTGGGTATGCCAGAAAAAGCATAAAAGCAAGTTGAATGCAGTGGAGATGCGATCTCTTCGTAAAATGTGCGGCGTTACCATAGCCGACCGAAAGCGAAACGAAGAGATTCGCAATATGGCAGGATTGAAAGATGACCTTATCACAAAAATTGATAGGGGCGTACTCCAATGGTTTGGGCACGTTGAACGAATGAGTGAAGACCGAATGGTGAAGAAAATATATAGAGCGAAAGTAAATATTAAAAGGTGTCGAGGTAGACCGAGACTAACTTTCGAAGACCATGTGAGCAAATTGCTCGAAGAGGGGAGGGTCAAGAGTACTCGGATACCTAGACGTGCATGTATGAAGAAGTTAATGAACCTGATAGAAGCGAAAGAGGTATGTAAGGATCGTGATACTTGGCGATCTGTTCTCTCTGGCTACCCCGTTAGGGATTGTGCGTGAAGATAAGTGTAAGTGTAAGTTATTGCGTTAAGATCTGTAGTATTTATATAAAAAATAATACAGATAAAAAATATTTCAGATGGATGGGCGATCATTGCAATCAATCAATATGCGAGCACAACCCTTGTCAAGCAGGAGGTAGTTGCGTTCGATATCCAGGCAGCGGATTTCTCTGTCTTTGTCCTTACGGAAAACATGGCATCTTTTGTGAATACAGTAAGCAGTTGCAAATTTATTCATGGGATTTAATAGGAAATCTTTCTTCTTCTTTGTCCTTCTCTCTAGCTATCCGCAAACTTCCACTGCTGGGCTTGGGCCTGGGCCTCTTTCGCTGTACCAAGAACTAGCCTTAATCGCCGTACTTGGCAGAAGATTGAGGATCGCAGCATCAAACTTCTTACATCTTTGACACCACTGTCCGTCGCTAGCCTGGGTATTTCACGTTTGGCTTAAACCACGCCATAAGAACGACATCGGAAGCCCAAAGAAAGGAAGGATTCGATTAGCGTTTACGAAAGTCGCCTCTTACGACACCCACTTTGCCAGTGCGAACGTGTCTGTTCTGCTTACCTTACTCTCTCTTCTCTCTTCTTCTTATCTTACCACTCGCTTTAAGAAATTATTGTCAACGATTTAATTATTGCCATTCTTCAAAAGACCTACATCGAGAGATGAGAACAAATTTCCATGTAAGCCCGGCATGAAATACCGTCTCTATCTACTGAGCACATCAAGCTTTTTAGAAACAGTTCAGCTTACCCTTCCAAGTGACTGCGGAACTGTACGTCACTGGATATGTTGACGCATTCCGTCGAGGATTCTGATTGGAACTGAAGCATTAAGAGGAGTGGCCTAATATTGAAGATATACGATAAATACGTTCTTCTGATTTCAGGAACTAGTTTATACTCCCATCGACGATGTGTTAGCGAGCAATATTTGCACAGCCTTCATAATAAAGTAAAAATTTCTTATTGACAGATGTAGAAATAACCCGGCCATCAATAGCGCCGATAACTACTGGCGTTTCATCATATCTCATCTATCCGCTATCACAGTCTGCCATGAACTCCGACCGCTTTGAGCTTCGCCTTCGCTTCCACACGCCCGACATGGAGCAGATCGCGCTTCTTGCATTTGTTGGACAAAATGGCCAACACGATGCACGCAGTCAACATCTCGCATTAACATTCGTGAAAGGTTACATCATGCTCACGTGGAATATGGGTAGCGGTAAGAAAATAAAACATTTTTTTTAATTTTATTTAATTTGTTAGATAATCACTTGCTGTGGGCTAGCAATAGTGGATCAAACACAAGGTCAGCAATCCGCTTGCTGTCAAATAGCATCTCACTCAGCTTTAGCCTCGAACTTACTGTACGAGTATTGCGAGTATTTCATTTACTATACTCGTATATATTAAAAACGAAAACGTCAATTCATGAGAATCCAGATGCAAAAATATCATATGATGAATTATCTACTAAGTTTGACGAAACCCGCACTGCCTTTTCGTTGTGTTTAGACGTTGTGACTGTGCTGGGTAGATAAGTACTATTATTTATTTTATTGTAGGTGTAATTAATAGAACTGTCTTAATGAACATGTAAGTATACAGCCGAATAAGTAAATTATGCAAATCTGCATTTTCTGAAAGTGACTCTTGTGTATTCTTGGAACCAGTGAGAAAAATTCAGCGTCTAATGTTTTTAGAATTAATAGTATTGAAAAAGACTAATCTTTTTTTGTAATTAAAAACAATACTAGCAATTTTATCAACATTACTAATATTCCCTGTGATGATGTATACTTCCTGTAATATTCTCTTCAAGGAGTGGTAACTCCAGGAAGCTTAAAATGCTTGTGTGGTTCACGTAAGTAGTCGAATGGCGGATTCGAACCCGCAACCATTTTAATTTTGCGGTTCCTATCCTGGAATTAGGCTAGGCGCGTAGGTTGTTCTACTAGAGCCTAAAGGGCTAAAAATCAAAAATCCAACGTTTTGTCGCATGAAATCGTATCTAACAATCATATTGAACATATAAATGATAAAAAAGCACATTGTCAGAAAGATAAATGATTGTTGAACTTATTTTTATAAATATATTATTTGCTATTACATTAAAAAGTGGTTTAGTGGCTTATGATGTAGATTTATCACGTACGCATGCAGGGTTAAAACACAATAACTTTTGAAAATATCAATTGTTCAACTCAATCTATTTTTTAATCTCTTCATCTATCGTGTGGGAAGCCATGGAATGTAAATGGCTGTTTAATTTTGTTTTGTTTAGTCATAATTAATTTTTTTCGGGTGAAAAATTCCGAAATTTGCGGAGTCTATATTTTAATAAATACAGATATACTTTGACTCACTCCGGGCACGGCAGTCGTCATAAGTGGATTACTGTATCGTTTGTTTATAACGGCTCGTAATGAAAAATACCGATCGCTGTAGAAATATAAAATATTCCAAAAAACCGGCCAAGAGCGTGTCGGGCCACGCTCAGTGTAGGGTTCCGTAGCTTCCCGTCCGACACAATAAGTGTTCCCACTTATGAGTTTAAAGGTGGGTATCCATTATGTTCGCGCTCCAGAAGCGCTCCGCGATCCTGCAACTGCTCCCGGTAGTGGGTACCGTTGTTTCCATCCAAGTTCAAAATGATTTTCCTAGAAAGTCCTTATAAAGTTCTACTTTTCAGATTTTTTCATATTTTTTAAACTTATGGTTCAAAAGTTAGAGGGGGGGGGACATTGTTTTTCACTTTTGGAGCGATTATTTCGAAATTATTGACATTATCAAAAAATTATTTTAGTAAACCCATATTCATTTTTAAATACCTTTCCAACAATATATCACACGTTAGGGTTGAAATTAAAAAAAAAATCACTTCCCACTTTACATATAGGGGGGGCTACCCTAATAAAACATTTTTTTTTCCAATTTTTATTTTACCACTTTGTCGGCGTGATTGATACACATATTGGTACCAAATTTCAGTTTTCTAGTGCTAACGGTCACAGAGATTAAGCGAGGACGGACAGACGGACAGACAGACATGGCGAAACTATAAGGGTTCCTAGTTGACTACGGAACCCTAAAAACCAGATTTGATGTGTACTTGACCAAGGTAAAATATTATTATTATTTTTATAATCACAGATTTTCCTTACAATATGTTTTTTTTTGCTAAAAGTACGTAGGAATTTATATAATTATATAAATTCTACGTACTTACGTACTACGTACTACGTACTACCTACCTTATACGTCTTGGACTTTAGGAAGTGACCTGAAGGTATACTTCGGTATCTGCTACTGGAACTTTTCGAAGAGTAAAACTAGGTGTGCCGAATTTGGCTTCGTTTTGTTAGTTATGATCAGATCTTACCTCCAAACTTGATAGAGTGACCTGAAGGTGTACTTTGGTGAATGTTTAATTAATATACTGGTTATGACTAATTAAAAAACTTTTTGAAAACGAAATAAAGTTGAAGAGAATTTTTTTTATTAATGATTCAGGTAAAAATGCCTGAGTACAAATACTTAAAAATTAAAGTAAAAGTTGATTTCTGATCGTTTTAAGATAATTCTATTAATAGATTTTTAATAACAATAATAAAAAAAATTATCTCAATAATAATAAAAATTAATATAAAATAAAATATTTTGTATTGTTGAGTAAGAATTTTTTCTACATTTTTTCACGATCATTGCAATAAGAGCATTATGAGTCGTGCACTTAGAGTAATTAAATCTCTGTGGTCGTGCACTTTTTGATTTTCCAAACATTTTTTATTGACGTTTGACATAAAATTATCGGAAAATTAGAAGTAATAGTAATAAGGTTATTGGTGAAAACTTGTGTGTATTTAAAATACTTTAAAAAATTAACGTATGACACGAGCGCCATTCGGATTTACCAAAAGTTTCTATTTATATCTAGTGGTAAATGTAATGAAGACCTAAATAGTAAAATGCATTTTATATGTATAACACGTATAATTTTTTTATACAATGTAGTTGTCTTTTTAGTTATGACGATATAGGTACTCGGAGTAGTAAAAATTAACACAATAACGAGAGGTAGGCGATACCCCATGAAGTAAGAAGAAATGTAAATTAATGAATGAATGCAATAATTCTCAAGTCTGTCTGGGTATCTACCACCCTCTGAACTATTTCAACCAAGGAACAGCAGTGTGTGCATTGCTGCGGAAGGGTATAGATATAGAGAGTCAGTATAATTACAGGTCGTGAGGCATTCCGTTTTAGTCCTCATAGATGATTTCGCATCTGTAGCCTTCTTTATTTGATGTTGATTGTAGGTGTCCATTGGCTGCAAGCTGCAGTAGTGAATGTTATTCAATATTATAAAAAAAAATTACTTGGTTATGTTTGTCCTGCTTGCTATCAACTTCCCGTCTTAACCCATTCAAGTAATATGTACTAAATACAAGAGACACCGCGAACACACCGCGGCGGTGCGTCACGTGTGGAAGAGCAAAGTACCTTTTTATGGCACAAATTAAGTAAGTTTGAGCCTTTGAGCCCATGGGCTCTAATGCGTATTGCAAACGACAAAGTCTTGGCGTCTCTTCTAGTACGTAGTAAATATTACTTCAATGCCTAAGTCCCCACAAATGGATACAACGTCAGGTCCGCGACGTGTGTTCACGTCGCGCGCGCTGAGCGGACGACGCGGCGGGCACGCGGTGCGCGTGTGGCGGCGCGGCCGCAGCGCCGGCCTCAGCGTCGACGGACGCCACAACGTATCCGGAAACGCGCCTGCCCATCCGCAACACGACAAGATGACGCTACTGCCATATATCTACATCGGTACGTCATATCATATCCCGATACCGTAATCGGTACACATATTTAGCACTGACTAAAGGAAAACCTGAATAGCGCCCCTGGCAGACAAAAATAGAATCATGTAATTTCAACAATGACCATTGTAATGAAAACACTCTCAACTCAGGCGACGGATCATATTGCGTGACTCGTGTGTTTCCATATAGTACAAAGGAAATTTTATAAGAATGCACTTTGTTCTGTGAATTAGCATTTGAAGAATAAATTTAATACGCGCTCAAGTAACGCTTGAGCTGTAACATTTGCCAACAATTTTTGAACAACTATAACCCTAAATAGTAATTTAAATCCAAGTCCACCAACTCATACCGCTAATGCCCGGTTTCTATATTTGAAAATTGGGGGATACCCTTTTCCTACCCCTAAAAAAGATATTCAGCAGCTTAGTAGTCGACTTCGCACATCCTTCATAACATCAGATTTAATCATAACAGGATCGAACCCGGTAGAACGAATATAATAAAGGTACATAAGCTACGGTAAATCTATGTAAGCTGATGTAACTTGATAGGTGGCCACCCTTCCGAGAACTTCGCGGTTCTGCCGCACGATCTGCCGCTGCACAACGGTTGGCGTGGCTGTATATGGGACGTAAGCGGACAGGCTGTAGGCGGCAAAGTAGTGGGCGGTCGCGGCGTTGGACAGTGCGGGGTGGCGCAGTGCACCGCGCGATCCTGCAATGCTCCGCGCGGCGTCTGCATACACTCGCCCGCCACGTACGGGTGAGAGCACCTCAATACACTATTTGCTCAACGATGATAAAACGACACGGTTTTTGCCCCACATTGAAGCATTACCAAGAGTCACTAACGTCAATAACATTAAACGTGTTTCACAAATATTGGAAGATACGTTTTTCGCCCCAAAACGAGGCCTTAGCATTAGTTACATTTTGTGTCCAATGGTAATAACACAGTTAATTCAGTAAGGCAGAAGGTATGCACAAGGAATTTGTAACGAAAACCCGATGTAACGCTCGAACGATAATTTTGGAGGTAGATGCAGCAACAGCTTAGCATGAAACTTAAAAACAATTACAACACGGCTGGATACGAACAGTTTGAGTTTAAGTACAAATGTCGCGTTCGGGTGGAATTCAAACCCTGACCTCTGACTACCAAAACCTTCCGGCCATCAGTTAAATAGTGAAATATTACTACCTCACAATATTATTTAAGCTATTTAACAAAATACTTAATTGGGTTTTCCGACTTCTATAAGAAAGTATTTCTTTAAAGGCCGCACTCAAAAAGATCTTTATTAAAATTTATGTTCACTAACTATTTTTTATATATGTTGATCGAGGTTAGTAGCCCTAGACTTTAAAATGTTAAGTCAACTAAGAATAAAAAATACTAGGGCCGATGCAGATGCAAAGGTAAAACCTTTTGCTAGCATCATAAACGGAGCGGAGTAAAAGTCTAAAGCGCGCACTTTTGCTTTACATGTATTTTCCCATAGACAATTTAGTTTTTTTTTTTAAATATCTATTAGACAAATTCCGAATTTTATTGTTTACAAGCCTTGCCTGTGTGGAGCTACAAATATTGCCGAAAAAATTATGTAAATTGGCCTACGGGTTACGGAGAAGATAGATTTTAAAGAACGGTTTTCTTGCGCCATGGGAGCTCTGCTCCAATAATCAAACTGCAGAATCTTCCTTGTCATCTTTTGACCTCTCGAACCCCTTAGGTCGGATCCGACCACGGCGATATTCCGTCAAATCCCAAGCGGTAGGTTCCGAACGCATTCACCCACAGCACTTTAAACCATAAAAACTTATAATTATTAGTACTTTTCTATGAAGAAGTTTGCCATTATAGAATCTATACGAAATTCTCTATTTTATAGTCTAAACAAAAGTCAGTTACTCTATGGATTTTATTTTTATTCAACTGTCAATTTGCGATATTTACCGACCATACGAAAATGGCGCAATTTTACCGTAGATTAAAAATAAAAATCTATAGAGTAACTGATTTGTTTAAACCACAGGATAGAAAATGTTGTATAGATTCTATAATGCCAAACTTCTTCATAGAAAAGCAGTCTCTAAATATAAGTTTTTATGGTTTATAATGCTGTGGGTGGGTGGGTCGCATGCGACTGTTCGGGATTTGACGAACGCATGCGATCGCTTGGAAATTTGAAAATTTTAAGGGGTTTGAAGAGTTAATAAGCACACTTATTGATTTATTTAGTTTTGATTATATGTAATCAGACGAAAAATCCTTTTAAATACTAATACTGCATAATGTGATCACGTTCATTCTATCATTAACAGCTGCATCTGCAACGAAGGTTGGTTCGGTGCAACATGCTCAAGCCAACAACACGAGTGTGATCGCTCGCGGTCGCTTTGCCAAGGGCTATGCGTGCAAGCACCCGATTCGCGTGCGTATTGTGACTGCCCATATGGAAAGACCGGCGAAAACTGCGATCAAAGTATGTAAACGCAAAATACTTTTTTTAGGTTTTTAATATACAAATATGCTTGGCCCGTAGACATTCCTTGTTAGCGAAATAAAAAAATAAATACCATCATACTACCAGATAGTCCCATGTCTATAATTTTTACGAACTGATGGAGAAAATAAAGAACACAATTACAGATTTTATCCTGGTTTGGCCATATTACCGTTCAACAGTGGACGGAAGGATAAGTTCCTATTACGTAAAAATGACGTAATGTATAACATTTGCCAGGAAAAAGTAAAGATTTAATCTTGGGTAACAAGTAGTTGTTTGCTGAAATGCAAATTTAGCTTTGCTACACTTATTAGCCTTGGTTGCGTAATTTCATTCTATAATATGCCTTAATTAATTATGGGTCTATTTCTTTTCAACTTTGATTGAGTATATAATATTAAACGCTTTGAAAAAAAATTACACTTACTGCGACGAAGATCAGTGACAAATTGCTAAACATCTTGAACTGAAGAATCGTGTAGCCGCCCCCCAACTGTAATGATTTTTCAAATGGTCCATGCTATAGTAGAGGCCAATATCGAGTACTGTATTGTGACGCAACTGATAATACAAGGTTATTTTTCAAAGAGGAGCCAAATTATAACTTAAATCCAAATATCTATATAATGATATACCGTTATTGCAGTCTTTGAAAATACGATTAAATAAGACCTTACAGTTATTTGAAATTATCCCAAATTGAATTGGATTTATGGACAACGTTTTTGCCTACCGATCGTACTTTTACGAATATGTGCGTGTGCAGTAATATCAGTTAAAATAATGCATTACGGGAGTGACACTGAAAGATCTTCTATCTTCTAGCAAGTTATTAGTTTTTATATATATTTTCAAATTAGTGGCCACTTACATCAATACATCGCTGCATCTGATGGAACCACTGAGAAAAGCACTTTGCCTACTCGTCCTTAGGGGTCTCTTCGACGGCATTTTGAAACGCAATCACTGCTTCCTCAGCGTCCATAAAACGTTTTCCTCGAAATAGATAAAATCGCAAGGTCGGGATTACAGGGCGGGTGACCCAGTAATTCTACGTCTGACGTCGCCAAGTAGTCGATTGTTTGCTTGGCAGTGTGCGACGAGGCGTTTTCGTGGTGAAGGAGGATCGTACTGCGAAGTCGTTTCGATTGTTAATGTATTAATTATTAGTAATTGTTAGTGTACCACTCTGCAGTTACTGTTTTTCGATACTCTAAAACAATTGTTGCGTAATGACCTGTCCTTCCGAAGAACGAGGCCACCATCTCTTTTCCCACACTTCGACCTCTCTGCACTTTAGTTAGCAACTTCTCGGAAGGAAACACCCAGACAGCAGACTGTCTCTTAGTTTCAGGATCAATAAATCGTCACCCGTAAGTATGTCGAACACATCATTTAAGCCACCTCCGTTAAATCATTGAACCATTTCACGTATTCAAGCACGAAACCACCACCGGGCACAAAGCTTCCTGACCGCTAAATGTTCGTGGAGGATTTTGTGCACTTGGCTCATACCGATGCCTAAGCTTGTCCAAATCTGCTGATAAGTCACTCTTTTGTCAGTCTCATTTGTCATATGCCGTACAACACTGTTATTATTTAATTGTCGCCGTAGAAGGCCGTCCCTCACGCAGAACCAAAGACATTTAAGTAGTAGTAGTAAAAATATATTTAAATCTCTTTGCGCAGAACATTGGTGAGATTAGTGCGATCACGTTTAAACTCATTAAACCAGTTGTAAACAGTAGCACGAGATGGGGATTCATCGTGAAAAGCCCATCAAAGTCTATCATAACTTTCTTGTTGATTTAAATGATATCGAAAGTCATAAAAAATCATTTTATGAAAATTTTCTTGCGTTAAATTCATACTGACGTGACACAGACAATTTTCAATTTACCACCAAATTGTAAACAAGTGACAAATTAATAGAATACACTGACCTCTATATATACAAGTACTCTGTATACTGGGTGGTCCAAACAGTGAGGTTATAAAATTTTTTTTTGATTCCTCACACCTAGGGGTATCCGAAAATACCCTATGTATGTTACGCGATTTTTTGTAGTTTTTGAGTTATGATTTTTTTTATCCTTTTTTTGAAAATGTTCACCCTTAACAGCCTAACATTAAAAAAAATGTAATTGTGAGATTTTTTTCAAGTTTTTTTGTTTGTAGCATGATCCTTATGAGTTGCCCTATTATGTATAAAATAATTAGCTTCCTAACATTCACCGAAGATACAATAATTTTAATCGAAACTTAAAAATTTTCTGTCAGGAATTTTCAACATTAAATGAAAAATAGTAATAAATGATTTCATACTTTCTAATTAATTTTGAAAACTTGGCAGTACCTTAATCTTTTATAATAACATTAAAAAAATGACACTTAGTAGGCCAGTTTTTCTGTTACAGACTTCTGCAGTTACTCAGGCAGGAAACTACCTGAATAGTTAATTTGATTTAAAAAATCTTTTTATCATTTCTAAGGCTAAACTAAGATAGTAAATGCTTCAGGTTAGCAAAAATAACATCCAGTGTCTTTACTTACGTATTGTTTAGAATTTATTGAAAACAAGGTATCATTTTACTACGTTCTGGACAAATGATTTCAAGATTCATAATAAAACTAGTAAATAATTTAAGATAAATTTATTTAAAGTAAATTTTCGAAATGGAGGCCATTAACTTCGATACACAGTCTACATCGTCTTAAAAAATTTGCTTTTAGTCTTCGAAAAGCATTCGTATTTTCTTTGATTTTTTCTGCGCACTATCTCAATTTTTCCCTTAATTCATTTTCCGAATTAATTTCTCTAGCATACACCATCTCTTTGTAGAATCCCCAAATAAAAAAATCTATAGTGTTTAAATCTGGTGAGCGTGCAGGCCATTCGATTGGCCCTGCACGCTCAATCCACCTGCCTGGGAAAGTTCTGTTGAGGTGCTCCCTCATTTGTCTTTCAAAATGGCAAGGAGCACCGTCATTTTGAAATATCATATCCCTCCTCGTTTGTAAATTAAATTCAAACAATAAACCATTTAAGTTATTTTGTAGTAAGTTCAGGTACTGGGACCCGTTCAACCTAGCCGACAATTCAAAGGGCCCAACCATTTCTCCATTTATGACTCCTGACCACATGTTGATACTAAATCTGTTCTGAAAATTTGACTGCCTTGCTTTTTTTGGGTTTTCAATGGCCCAGCTATGATAATTGTGAATGTTAAAGACGCCAGTCAAATCCGGGTCTTCCGCAGATCTTTCCAGCATTATTCGGCAGAAAGCAACACGCCTTGGATAGTCTGCGTCATTAAGTTGTTGAACACGCTGAATATGAAACGCGTGATATCCCTCTGGAAAAAAATTATTAGTATTTTTATTGTAGGTTGTCATTGTACACAATACTAGAGGTACGTACCGATAGAGCACGTGAACGTGAAATTAAAAGTTGGGATTCGCTAGAGTGGCGTCCTAGCGCCTATTTTTGAATTACGAGCGCTTGTTTAAGGGTCGCTGCTACATCTCTCTCTTTTACACGCACACACATCACACTAGACATCGACAATTCACAGTAAATTAAATGAGTGTGGTTTGAAATGGCAGTGCAGCAATGTGTTGGGATTTTGAATAAAGAGGTCTACAAAATAATAAAATGCCCTCACCTGGTTTCAGTATTCTTAAAACTGAAGTCCTTGGGATTCCAGTCCTTCTCGTAATCGCTCGTGAACTAGTAGCAGGGTCTCTTTCTACTTCTTCAATGATTACATCTCTTCTTTCTGGATCCACTCTGGGTAGTCCCTCGCGACGTTGATTACGCCCAGGAACGCGTCCAGCCATCAGGGTTTCGTGGGTGTTATTAAAAACCCTGTAGCCCGGGTAATGCTCTAACATTTCTCCTCGCCGCTTCAGTTGCTCTCGATAAAGCCGTGTCGCTAATGCGCCGTTTCCTTAGGCAACGCCGTAGAAATAGTGCATCTCTGCGTATTGACTCAGAGAATAACTCATTGCTGAAAGTAATCCAAATCACTAAGCAACTCAAGGTCCATAAAACAAGCACAGGTCAATCGTAAGGCAAATCAAGAATCCGGGAAACAAAGCGAAGGTAGTCAAATAAGAGATCTAAATAAACGTAAACGCGAGTAATGGTTGCACGCGGGAAAGCAGTGAACGACTGGCGGGACCGAGCGAAGTGAAAAGGGACGCGGTCGGTGTGGCGCGGGGCGCGGGGTGCGGCCTGGTAACAAAATGGAGCGCATGCAGGAATTACATTTAGTTCGAGTGAAATAAAAAAACATGTAGTTTGTAGTAAAATGATACCTTAATAAATGTCACGTTTTAACAATAAGTAGTTTTCTTTGCTAACCTGAAGCATTTATTATCTTAGTTTAGCCCTAGAAATGATAAAAAGATTTTTTAAATCAAATTAACTACTCAGGTAGTTTCCTGCCCGAGTAACTTCAGAAGTCTGTAACAGAAAAACTGGACCATTAAGTGTCATTTTTTTATGTTATTATGAAAGATTAAGGTACTGCCAAGTTTTTAAAATTAATTAGAAAGTATGAAATCATTTATTACTATTTTTCATTTAATGTTGAAAATTCAAGCCCCACTCTCCTGACAGAAAATTTTTAAGTTTCGATTAAAATTATTGTTTCTTCGGTGAATGTTAGGAAGCTAATTATTTTATGCATAATAGAGCAACTCATAAGGATCATGCTACAAACAAAAAAAACTTGGAAAAAATCCTACAATTACATTTTTTTAATGTTAGAGTGTTTAAGGTGAACATTTTCAAAAAAAGGATAAAAAAAATCATAACTCGAAAACTACAAAAAATCGCGTAACATACATAGGGTATTTTCGGATACCCCCAGGTGTGAGGAATCAAAAAAAAAATTATAACCTCACTGTTTGGACCAGCCTGTATATAGAGGTCAGTGATAAAATACATACACAATAATAATAGCAAAGAGTTCCATTTTCAAAATTTGAACTTATTTTTTTATTGTAGCGTTTACAAGAGGCCAGTTCTAAAAACTTTCAGTGTCGCCCTCGTACCACGCATTTTGAATTTAAAAGATAAAAAGGACAGAATGTTTGAGATTTTATTAATTAATTTTTCTTCACCATTTGCTATATTACTTATTCTGAATCTTCTCTGCGAATTTGGCCGATTATTGCAAAATAACCCTGCATAGAGTTGAAAACTCGTAATATTTCATAGAGTTATAATGTAGTACGTAGCACATTATAACTCAATGTAATATTTTAACATTCGATCTAACAGTTCTCCTGATGGCAAGTAACTAATGCAGCCAATGGACACTTGTAATCTACTTTAATCAAAAAAGGCTACAGATGCATTGTCACCATTATGGACTAAAGTGGAATGCCTCTCAGTCTGTAATTATATTGGCTCTTTATACGCTTCAGCTGAAGCTGTCTGAAGACAGCGACAAAATAATGAATTCACTGACGCTTGGCGGCAAAACTAGTTAAGTGCTACCTACCGCCAGGGCAGGAAAGGAGTCCTGCCAATTACAAATCAACTAAGCTCAGTATTGTAATTTATCGATTTCCAGACGTTATACCAATCGACGTGCTATTCAGCGGGGTTCGGTCCTATCTGCAGCTGCTGCCACGCTCAATATCCAGTGTTAGTTTGTCCCTCGAAGCCGAAATCAAGCCGACGAAAGAGCGAGGTCTGGTGATATTTGCGCAGACACCCCACTTTTATACAGCTTTGTCTCTGCAAGGAGGTTTACTGGAATACAGATGGACGGGTAGGTCCAAGTTAATACTAAATGACGCGTAAGAAATATTTGCAATAATCGTAAAATATTTTTTAATCTTTTCACGTCATCGTTTTCGGCCCGTTATTAGCCCAATGCTGGGATATTAGTATGTACTTTACGAACTAAAGTACGACTTCTAGATGACATTTTGTTTGTTTCCAGGGCTTGCATGATTTTCTTGTAATTCCATTAGTTGACTTTGACAAACACCCACCCACATCCAAACGAGTGGGAGTAAATGAATACATTCTCCTTCTTCTTCATATGCCTATATTCAGCATTGGACTTCTATCCACTGCTGAACATGGGCTTATCCTGTTGCAGGAATAGTTTGCCTCAATTGTCACGCTTGACAGGCGAAATGACGATCGCAGTATCAAACGTCTCGCACCTTGGATGCTGCTGCCTGTCGTCGGTATTTTTAACGTCTGGAGTAAACGAGATGCAAATCTTTCCAGTATTGCATGTCAGCTGGTACATTCTTGGGATGTAGCAGCAGTAGATTAAAAAAAAAGGTCAAGCAATATCGCACAAAAACAAAATTATTTATTTATTTATTTCATGGATATTGGATGCTGTGAATATGTCGTGTTCCTTCCTTTACTTTTAAATTTATATTAATCGCCAATTTGCCAATCGTGATTCCATCACCCCATTTTATCGCGTGGGTGTCGCAAGAGGCGACTATGAGGTATGCCAAAATATTTTACTTTCGTTTCCGATAAATCGAGAAGGTTATTGGGACATATCTCGTTTAAGGTAGACATCAAATACCAGACCAAATGGGAAGCATCGTCAAAGGTGCGATACGACTAACAAACGTGACTTTTGCCTCCCTATAAAGGTCGCTGCATACAGGACGGAATCAGCACGTGCACGGGACGGAGACGGAACGTGGTTATATACCAACACGGACGGGAGTTTAATGCATACGCACCGTGACAGTGACTCGAAACTAATGTGCTAGTGTTGTGAAAGATATATTTTTCATTTGAAGAATTGGCATTAATTGCTATTGCTTCAGATGATGAAGAAGCTACAACAGTCAAGAGTAAAAGGAGATTTTCTGTATATCATACGTGGCAGTAAATAGGACTAGAAGGATCACCTTTTAATCATACCACACTCTTTCCTCTCTACAAAGAAAATTTGGATGACAAGACTCAATTTCATATGTATTTTCGTATGACAACATAAATGGAAAATAAAATTTAAACTAACTAATTTTTTTTATATTTTGTGTTCAATATGTTGTGCAAGATTATACAAACTGGACATGATCATACACATTAAATTAGTTTTTCGTCGTACATTTCGTTCGGTACAACACACGCATCACTGCGTAGCCAACTGAACGACCGTGCATACGCAACGGAACCACGGACGGGACGTGGCACGCGCCGGGCGGGACGGGCTAAACATCGTCGCCGACGATATTTTTCCCCGCCCCGTTCATGCCACGTCCCCGTCCCGTCTGTGCACCCGTTACGTATGCATTATCACGTACATTTTCTATGAAACGATATTTCCAAAATTTCACGTCCCGTCCCGTCCGGGATAAAACACGTTACGTATGCATCGACCTTAAATCCTTTCAATAAGAGGAAGGGCCCGTGTCCAGCAGCGGATTTTTACGGACTGATAATGATGATGATGATAATTTATCAAAGGATATAGGGGATGCTTTTGGTATATTTGTGACCTTTTTAATGCCTTAGACTATTGAATAGCTTAGGACATTTATCAAAAAACTACAACATTTTGGTATATAAGCGTTGTGTTTAATTTTACTATTTCGTATCTCAAGTAACAGAAGGCAAAAAGTCGTTATCTATAATTAAAGTTATTCCGTCCCGCCTGTATTAATGGGTGTATCTCAGGGCTCTATTCTCGGATCATATTTTTCTATTTTAATCACTTACCTCATGAACGAACGATTAAGCTGTGTTTTGTCCTTCTTTCAATACGTGTCCGAAACTTTAAAAGTTATACAACAGTGTAGATTGAATAACTTTTCGGTTTCCATTTGCTTCTACGAGTTTACGACCTAGTGGAATGTTAACGGACTAGTAACAACTACTCAGTTTTCACGTAGATAATTCAATGGGGCACTTGGTAAGGCTTGTTTTTAGATCGGCTGTCGGGTTTGACCTCGCTGGTACGTAGCGGCGTAGTGGTATCGATGTCACAGTGGCACGGCGTGAGGGCGGGGCGGTACGGCGCGCGCCTGTACGTGTGGGTGGACGGCGCACTCAGCACCGAGCCCATGCTGGCGCATGCCTACCCACACACTGCGAGCGACGCGGACATCGTACTAGGTTACTCACTGTACCAATGTTTTGTATAAATACGTTTTTTCCTTTTTCATTACAGCCCAAGTCCACTACAGATTGCCTCCTATATCGGGTGAGTGGACGGGTTTATTATTATCTACTATCACTTCACGTGGTGGAGCCACGCTGCAGCTATATTATGATTGTAGCACGAATTGTTCGGCTCGACCGAGGAAGGACCACGCTCTCATAGAATATCAGCGTAAAATAGCAGCTTAATGTTGCTGTGTTTCTTATGGTGAATTTAGAGAACCGGAGACCCTTTTTCCTGCAAAAATGGAATTTCATCTTTTCCTCTCTCTCTTTAGATTAAGAATCGAGGTGGAGGAGGAAGTAAATTATGAGCTCGTTTATCATCCTTATTCTTTATTAATAAATACTATATGTTAATAAAATAACAAGTGAGAACTATCTACATATTACAGTTACCAGCTCTGGCAGGCGCGTTAACAAGCTCAGATTTTTAATATTTATTTTGATTGGAGTTGCTATTAGGAAGATGCTTCTGTACATCTTCTGTTTCATTTTCCCTCTTTCGCCTTTTGTGACACCCACAGGATATTATGGGTTATAATTATAGTAGATTTTTTTTCGCCACTACAACACGGCTATATTACGTTATACAGCTGCAATTAATAATACCTTTAGGTTGAGTGCTCGCGTAAAATTTTAGTGTGCAATTGAAATTGTTCACTTGTAATTTTAAATATCCATTTGATATCCCATTTATCAGGAGTTCGGTGGTAAAGGAAAGTAAAGTAGAAGTTTGTTTTTACTGGGTAGTAGAACTTCTTTTACGCCTCTAGTCCCAACTTTGATCACGGCGGCAAGTCTCATAGTGCACGAGTGTTTACGCAAGCACAGGTGCACTCTATTTCTTAACTCTCATATTCCGAAGGGACGGTAATAAGACGAAGATTGGAGAGAGCCCAGGCGCGGGACCAACCATCGAACTATATTACTAGCCTATAGAACAGACACCCTGAACCAAAAGTTTGCTTCATTTTGGTATGATTTAGAACTAAAGTTCGCTACAGCGCTAATGTAGTAGTAACGTCGTTTAACCAAACTATTCAATGTTTTAATAGTTTGGTTGGCAGCGCTAGTTTGCATTAGGGATTAGGGGTTTTCTCGCGACTAAAACGTCATAAACGCCATGAATTTCATGGCGCTTACGCGTATCGTTCAACATAGTGTACAACAAGTCGCTCCCATCTATTTTAAATTTTGTCCGATTCTCGTGAGATTGTAACAACGCGAAAAACTTCAAATCAAATAGTTTTAAACGTTTTAATGTCTACTTACCGATGAAATGTTAAACCATCACTTTTTTGATGTTCTGTAGTGTTTACAGCAATCTTTAAGAACACAACCAGACATTTTGAACTAATCGGTGCGGGCGTTGGACACTCACTAAACAGTTGCGGACTGCGGTACAATGTAACGAAAAGCGTGGCGCAAAATCATGCAAGGCGTTCTTTTCTCTATACGTAGTAGTAACATCTGAATAGGACCAATAGCTTTACGTGCTTTTCGAGGCACGATGTTGGAACTCTAGCGGAGTTCCAACATCATGCCCTGACTCCGGGATGAAAGTGTGAGAATTTCTTGACAGAAAAATGGATTAATTTACTTTGGTGCGATGCCAATCAGACTATCACCGAAGCAGTTTTCTGTCAAGGAGTAATAAATGCTTTTATAACTAGTAGAAACTAAGAGTAGAAGTTAAAACTAGAAGCAATAACGGATGTGTGAGTAGTTAGAAATTTGTGTGCAATAACACAATTTCGCAGTAGAAGGTATTTCTAACTTTTGTGTCTATGATAAATTCAATTAGTCTATGACTAAATTATAAATAATTTATTAGTATTTAGTAAATATTTATCTCAATGAACGTTAATAGAAACTTCATCAAAAAAATCTCTAATTACTATTTAGACCTTAAAAGTTCCTAAAGTTAAAAGTAATTATCATTTGTGTAAGATAAGTGGATGATGGACATTAACAAGTTTGAAAAATACTGTTTTGAGCTAATCAGCGCTTGGAATGTCCTTAAATAAAAACAGAAAAATATTAATGAGTATTTGCAAATTAGGCATTACGCCGTATTATAAAGCCTAAGTTTTTTAGTCTCGGTCACTACACTGCTGTGCGGCATAATTCCATGCTCACGACACGTGTGAACAGTTTATTCAATTTTACTTTAAAAAATATCAAAAGCTCATAGTATGCCAATGCTACTGAAAAGTTTGATTTGACATTGAAACAATTTTACGCTTAAACTTCAAAAGTTAATGATTAAAAATGCTTGTTACATAGGACAAACAATTTTGTTATTTTAACTTGTAAAATACATACTTTTGCGCCTTTTAACCAAGGGACCAAGGGAGAGACTACGTGTTTCCATTAGGTACGATCCTGAGACACCTTTCGCGCTTCTTTTACATCCATATGCCTATGTATACGTGCTCGCCTGTTGATGTTCTTGTTTGTGTGCTCTTAATTTGGTCTTACTTCAATATATCGCCAACTTGGTCCTTAAACTTTCGTCTTCTGTCCCATTCTGATTCCATCACTTACTTCTGCAGCATAAATTTGCCTTGCCACTCTCTCCTCATTATTTCTGCGCGTACCAACTATCGAAGCATTCCTTTCTTAATTCAAGGCACAACGTGCATAAAACCAAGATGAATCACTTGTTTGCTTTGAATTAGTATCAATTATGTTATTATTAATTTATAAGGTGGTGCGAAAGATTTAGCAACAGTACCGTTCGACGCCATGTCCGGGCCGACCGAGTCGTACTCGGGCTGTATCAGAAATTTGCACGTGAACAACATTCCCTTGCCGTTGGAGCCGCAAAATATACGAGGTAATTTACAATTACTGCAATAATTAAATAATAATTAAAACCAAATATATTATAAGGTGCATGAGGGTAATATGGTCACCTTAAGCTTTGCCGTCCTATAAAACCAAAACTAGGAGGAGGATGGATACACAAACACAAAGTCGTATACTATAACTCGTACTATTAGTCGTATACTATATCAATAAAAAAATAGCAAACAAGCTTTGGAAATAATTAGGAACACTTCGAAAAATCAACTTAATAAAAACTAACTACATTACGCCATACTAAAGGCGACTGAAATATTTACTATAATATCAACTGTTAAAATGGCTTCGATAAAGCAGTGTCCTTTTGAGAGCAATTTAGCCACTAATATTTCAATTTAGCGACCATATTTTTTGCCTTTAAATGATTACAACCTCTAAAAACTCTTTTCTTTTTTTACTTTAATTTAGCGACATATACGACGACTTAACTATAAACTTATTTTAGCAACATCTGGTGGATTCAGTTCTCACAGTCTAGCACCCTCACGGCGGAGTTGGGAACCTTTATTATAGTTTATCTAATAAAGAAACGTTATACCTATTATTAATATATAGAGCCGTGGTAACTCAGATGGTTAGCGCTCGCTGTAAATTTCACAATACGCGAGCAAACCGGGTTCGATCCCCGCTGGCACCAATGAAATTGTTAATTGCAATTTTAAGTGCTGATTTACCACGTGCTCGGCGGTGAAGGAAAACATCGTGAGGAAACCTGCATGTCTGAGAAGTAAGAAAAAAAAATATTTTTCGAAGACATGTGAAGTTCGCCAACACGCATTGGGGCAGCGTGGCGGACTATTCCTTGCCCTAAAACCCTCTCAGAAATGAGAGGAGGCCTGTGCCCGCCGTGGGACGTATATAGGCTGTAACTACTTTACTTTTACTTTATACCTATTATTTATTATGCGGTTATACTAGCGATGGGCGATTACTACTAAAACTAATAGAATTAGTCAATTGTTCAGTTTAGTCGATAAATTCGATAACAATCACTTGTTACCGACTTAAATTGTGAGACGGGGGACAATGGCTGACACGGTTACCGTGTCAAATTTAACAAAGTACTAATTCACAGAGTACTTTTTTTATGTACTAATTTGTAGCGTAACGCACCTATTATAGGTACTAAATATGTAATTATAGGTACTAAATATATAATTATATATACAAACGATGGTGCGACGGTCTGTCTGTGCGCCACTACTTACGTTACGACTGCAGTTATTAAGTATGCGATTGGCGTTACATTACCTAAATACAATTTGTTTAGCGAGAATTGAAATGTCGTTTATGACACTAAAAATGTAAATTGTGCAATTTGAGCACTTTAAAATAACATAAGAATTATAATCTTACGAAAGTCTTATATTAGGTTAAAACATTTATTTAATATTGGGGGGGGGGCGTCCTTATTTTGTAGGCGGGGGCTGGTCCGGCGGCGGCCTCCAGGGTTTTTTTTTGTGGGCCTTGTCCTCTTCTCGCCCTTTTTTTTTTTTTTGCCCCCCCTGGGTGTTTTGTTTTTTTTCCTTTAAAAAAAAAAAACTTATTTTATTCAGCATTTTCGGCGCCAGTCTTTTACGTCATTGGTTAGTTAATAAAGATTCCCTACTTAAGAAAAAACGCACTCGGATAGTACATTACTAAATCGACAATTGGATGCGTTGAATGGTCTAAGTCTAAGGCAATAGCACAATTTTGATTTAGTCAATTGCTTTTTTTTTTGCAACTGTCGCCCATCGCTATATACATAGGTTGTAACAAGATGAATCGTAGCTAATGTTTGGCGCGTTGCAGAGGGGCGCAACGTGGGTGCGTGCGGGGGCGCGTTGTGCGCGGGGGGCGGTGCCGACGCGACGCGTGCCCGCGAGCGTGCGCTGCGCCGGCGCGCTGCCGCCGCGCGCGCTGTGTGTGCGCCGCGGGCCGCGCCGGCGACCGCTGCCAGCACGGTGACCACAAACACAGTCTCGCCATCAGTGCCGTCTAGAGGCGGCGTCGCTATCCACTACTACACGGTATCGGCCCGTGGGTCCCGTAAGAGGCGACACATGGAAACGAAGTCAAAATATAAACACTAGCATCCTTCTGATGACACCCTATGTTTGCTGATAAGTTTTTAGACTTAAATATTTTTGCAATACCTATAACCAAAGCCAAAAAGATAATATTGATGCGATTAGAAACATCTACGGTAAAAATATCAATATTAAATGTCATATCATATCTAATAAATAAAAGTATTTTAATAAGTTTATTATTGTTATTAGCATAAACATGCTTATCAAAACTAAGTTAAAGCCGTGAATGACGTACCTACTCGTAATTGATTGCGCAGTTATTTCCTATTTTATTTTCCGCGGTTCTATTTTATGTTATAATATGTTATCCCTATTTAAAATATTATAACATAAAATAGAACCGTGGTTGCCAACCCGCTTGCCAAACATGGCAACTATAGCAGTCATCCCCACCCCGCCCATGAGAAACGTCAACAAACTTAGTGACATTCCTTGGGCGAAACCTAAGTTCTAATAGATTTGTGGAGGGTTGTAATGATGATGATGATAATGACGATGATGAAGATGACATCGTATCGTAGTTACGTTAGTCGACAATCCCGTCTTAGCAATAAATCAATTCTAATCCCGCGGTGTAATAATATTTAACGTGTCGTAAAACGACTAATGCGGCCCTTTTTTCTTTAGAAAATCCAGTCTAAATAGGAAGGTACTTAGTAGATACCACTCTGTTAGGCAAATACACACTATAAATTTAATATAGCTATGTTAATAAGTTTATAATAGTGTACATATATATATATATATATATATATATATATATATATAGTATATATATATATGTATATATATATAAATACATAACCCGTGGTTGCATTTTAGCAATAATATGTTATTCAACTGTGTTTGCAAATTATAAAGAATTTGTATTCGTATTTTAGAAATCAACGTAACAATCCCGCAGTTCGACGGCGACTCATTACTTGCGATGGGAAAACGTCACGTGAACCGCCATGTTGGCGAGCAAAGACTCACGTCTGTGCCTACGTACCTCACATTAAACTTCACCACGTCAGAGCCTGACGGGCTACTGCTATGGATCGACATGGTAAATTTATACAAATGACGCACCTTCTTTCTTCTACCGCTTTTCATTTTAGCCATTTCTTGTTTGCTTTATTAACATTTCATGCATTTAACTTGAATTAAACTGCTATGTGGAGGCGGCGTAAAAGAAATGGTACCCATTTCGTCTAGAGGGAATCGAAATAATGGGAAATACCATAAACACCTTATGGCTTCCAGTGGTTGATGACGGTATAGTGGTATAACCATCTCGTTTACGCCAGACGTAAAACACCCAGACCAGTGACGGAAAGCAAAGATGTGAGACGTCTAATACTGCGACCGTCAATCGATAAGATAATACCAAATCCCTACAACCGGAGAGCTAGAGGCCCATCGCTGGCTGTGTACTTTTACGGACCAATGAAAAAGAAGAGGAACAAATGAATGTGAAGTTTGAAAACAAACGTTTTTGTAACGCATGCTGAAAATTTGACATGTTCTCAAATTATTTAATTTTTTAAATACCAAGAATTCTTCTTTAGCTCAATGACATGGTTTGCATAGAAACTTTTCTAAGTATCCCTTTTTACGATTCTGCCGCTACACAACTGGGCACACGCCATTGAGTTATGGTTTGACGGGTAAGAAAGCCAGAATGATTACAGGCTGTGAGAAATTACATTTTAATTCTAAAAGGTGTCTTTTTGGTTTGAGTTGCTTACAGGCGTCCATGGGCTAGCAAAGGAACTTACAATTTTGTTAGGTTGACTGCTAGCTCGTCACCTCATAGTAATGAAAATCATTTTACTAAACTTAAAGTAGGTAGGTAATCATTGCTTAATTCACAATTAATAATTTTAGTAGCATCGATAGACACTGTAGGTACTCTTATAACATAAGACTTTTTGAGTTTTAGGCAAAAATTCGACTTGCATCATCATTACAGTCCTTCACAAGTCCACTGCTGAACATAGGCCTCGCCCAATGTATGCTACAAAGCACGGTCCTGAGCCACCTGCATCCATCGACTTCCTGCATGTTTTACCTGGTCGTCACTCCATCTAGTGGGGGGTCGCCCTACACTTCGCCTACCGGTACAAACCTGCCACTCGAGAACCTTTTTTCCCCACCGGTTGTCGGTTCTTCGAGCTATATGACCTGCCCGTTGCCACTTCAATTTACTTATCCTTTGGGCTATGTCAGTCACTATGGTTCTACTGCGGATATCCTCATTTCTAAGTTTATCACGCAGAGAAACCCCGAGCATAGATCTCTCTCTAACTCGCTGTGCGACCTCATAGCACTGTCTTAATAATTTACAGGGTGTAGATCATTTGGGGTTCGGACTCGAAAATGGGTACCTAAGATTGGTCTGGTCTTTACATTGTGACGCACCGCATCGAATAGTACGGCCGGCTGAAAAATCTTTCCTGATTTTGCCTCGAAAATTTTCAAGAATACTGCCAAATTCTGGGTTCTTGCCCGACGGCGAATGGCATAAATGTATCCTGGAGTTCGGGAGGAAAAACATAACGCTGACTGTGGATAAACGATTAGTCTTTGTAGAGGAATCATGTTCAAGGGAAGAAGTAAGCTCTAACAATGTCGAGATGTACGTAGGTAAGTAAAGTTTTTGTTGTTCTAATAAATCCATTTCAGGAATATTCTGTTTCGTGGAGATATCTCACAACTATACACTTCACAAGGATAAACATTAAACACTAGACACGTGACAGTTATTTGCAGCCATTCAACTACTGTCCATGTGACAATCAACCTCGCAGCTCGTAACACTAAAGCACCGGCTTTGGAACTGCGCTGCCGTAGCGCTAAACATTGCTTTAACAGTGTGATTCTGACCTACTTTTTTAAATGACGACAATGTGACTAACATAATATTACCTATGCTTACATCCTTTAATGGTGTATGCTGCTCAGTATCGTATGTCCTCTGTCGTATTTAAGATCTGGCTAATATTGCACGGTGCCTATATCCGTGTGTTATACTGAAAAACTGAAAAACAAACAAATCCTCCAATTTATTCACAATATCTTTACATAGGGCATCGACAGATTAAGGCGAGTGAAGAAGAGAAGTGAGTTTCATATATTCGTATGTTGCCTAGGAGGATATCATCATCGTACTGCGTTGATGACTATAGAATCAGAGGAAAGTATATATACACTATGCTTTAAAGCGAATTTTTAGGGCAGAGTCTCGGTCAGTACCTAGTAGTCTAGTTATGAAAAGTCAAGCTACAGCCTATATACATCCCAGCTGGGTACAGGCCTATAAGATCTTATGTGAACACGGCTTATAATATATATGCATTAAAAGATATTCATCCTTTTAAAGCAACATGAGATAGTGACATCGATCGCAGTCGAAGGACGTTCATCATTGGCTATTATTTTTCCAGGTGGAGTAAACGAGGAAGACAATATTGCTGCAAAGAAATTTTTCCCCCAAAATTTCAAAGGCTGCATTGATCATATATCAACGAGAGAGGGTTCTTATATCAGCAACTATTCTGAAGTGTATAGTGAAAATGTTAAGTCGTGCCAAATCTTCCCAGCAATTTTATAATAGATTTGGGAATAATTGGCAATTGAACAGATGTATATTCTCTACCTTAATAACAGCTGCCGAGTATACTTTCTAAATGTCAAAAAAATTGTTTTTGATTATAAATTTTTAAACAGTAAATATTAATATTACTTGCACGCATTACTTGTTAATTATGTTTGTATAGGGTGCGAGATTTTCTAAGATATCGTAGTAAGATATGAAATTCTTTGCAAATTGTGTATGTAATATAAAGTTTCCCTACAATTTAATATTTATTCCAGATATGCAAGTGAAAACTTACTAATATAAGATTTTATCAGTTTTATATTGTAAACAAAAGTAATTAAAATCTTGTATACATGCAATTTATAACACGGATTAAAAACGAAACTAATACAGAATTACGGTTTCAACGTTCAATTTTTTTTATTTTATTTTACATATCAATCGAAAAAAAAACTATCGTGCAGATGCGACAAAAGAAAGGTGAAAAGATTACCTACAACAGAAAGATGACTTCGCGATACATAGACAAAGGACCCCTCCAACAGATCTAAAAAAAAACCATGTTGATTTTGACTGCGTGGTTATGTGGAGACTTTTAGCGGCGAGCTTTTATTTTTTTTTGCGCCCGAAGCAAATATGGGCAACCCTCCGGAAAGCGGGGGAGGGAGGCGGTGAATGCTCATAGCATAGCACGCAGCCGGCTGCGTGGTTATGTGGAGACTTTTACCCACTAAACGCCGCCTTTTAGGAAATGGCTTAACGATCTGACTAGAGATCTCTAAGCCGTATACGAACGCGACCCTCCTTGGCAGAAAGGAGGGCGCATGCGGCGAGCCGAAACAGCTGCTATTTATACACGCCGACACATCCGCTCCCCACCAAAGTAGCGAGTGACCGCGCCGTGCGATAACAAACCTGCGACTAATTATCATTATTTTTATGATTAATATTTTTAAATATTATTATATTATTATTGTTTTATTGATATTATTATTGTTATTTATTATTATTAATTTTAAAATTATTATTAAAGATAAGCCTTAAAGATGTTTAACAAAGGTGAATTAGAAACATTTGTTTGTTCATTCAGCAGTGCATTGTTACCATTATTATTTTTTTAAATCTCCAACTGTTCCAGCACACACAGCCGCAGCCCCTTATTACAAGTATGTAAGACTTCAAAGGAATGGTCGCTGGCTAGTTTGTGCCCAGTGTCCAAGAGATGTTTAGCAAAATGGGATTTATTAAGTATAAGTATTACTTGACTGGCTAATAGGTAATTATGTCATAGTGTTAAATAGTATTTCTTCAAGTTTATTTTTCATTTTCAATAAATAAATCTAATGTTTTAGTTGTTAGCAATGCCTTGTGTGTATAGGCTATACTTAGGTGTAAGAAGCAAAAAAAAAAAAATACTCATAGTACAAAGTTTTCTAGTCGTCTATAATGTAATTTACATATTAAGTTTGTATGTGTTTGTATTAGTGTCTTGAGTAAGGGAATACTAAGAATTTAAATTATGATTGTGGTTTTATAGAAAGAAAATTAAACATTCATCATACACAAAATATAGTTTTATTGATATATTCATGTTTAATAAATTGTATACATAACATCATCAAATATTATATTATAAACATATACATTTCGTTATACGTTACTTATTTAAAACACAAATACAATATGAGATGTTAGCCCCGTTAATTATATTCCATTAATTAAAACATTTAGTCTTGGTGCGGTAGTAGAGCCTGCAGGCGCACACAAAATAGTGTATACATGCCCTAACACAAAGCTCGTGAACATCTGATTTATTTACACTTCCATTCAAAAGCAACATGTACGTACATTAATTCGTAGAATTCATTAGGCCTATTTACAGTGGAATAAAGTTGGAATGCTTGACTGCAGTACACAATTTAGTTAGCGATTATGGTATTGTACAATATGTAAAACTCACTTAGGAACATCGATTCCTTTATTGTTACACGACGTATAGAATTTGATATAAATTCTAAAAAATAAATATTATAATAAGCGATATAAATAAATAGTTAATTGCACATCGTTACTTTTAAAAATTTTCGAAAATTAACAATCTATTATAAAACCGTAAGCTGTGCTTACGACCCGAATATGGTGCTACGTGAAGACAGGCACGAAGTGAATTTCTCTAGAAAAACATTTAACAATTTCCATCTAACATCTTGATAAGCAAAAACGTAGGAATGTTTCTAATAACATTTACAAACATAAAAATAGAATAGGACAAGCAGATCACAGAAGTAAATATTATATATTTACGAAGTAATTAAGCCTACATTGATGCACAATAAATTCCATGTCTATGACAAATGAATATAATATATGGTACAGCGACGGTTCCAGCTAAACATCGAATGCAATAAGGCCTATGTGATAGTAACATATGTTTATATAATATTATACTTGAATGATATTTCAAAAATCTATAAATAAGTCTTAATTGTACAATATATATTCATACACACTACATCTTCCTTTTTCGGAACAACTGAATAAAATTGAAATATTTTTCTTATCTACATTGAAATTAATTTACTTTAAAAATTATATTTAGATCGAACTCATTTAACAATTATAATATAATTCTATAAAATAACAATTACCAGTACGGGATCCCATTGTATATAAGATTTATAAATGAAGCAAACTCCTCCCACAGTTGGTAGGATTTGATAAGTTTAACCGGGTGGTAACAATCTCATTAAATTGATAATCTCTAAATTTATAAACAAATTACGCTACATTACATAATGTCATTAATATAAGGTCATGTATATTAATAAAAACAAACTAATATTGACATTACACTGAATATGTATATTTTAAACTAATTACCATTCGGATTATAATGGTTTAGGGTCACATAAGGTTTTTTTATATTAAATTCGCAGCGGCCCTGTGCTATTTACATATCTCGGCGACCACCTAGAGCTCTGCCCTAGCTTTTTTCAATCGCATGTTATGTAAATAGCGTACATACAGATCAATGTCAAAATGTTATAAAAATCAATTGTATAGACAGAAAGCATATAACTTTTTAAAATCAGTCTCATTCGCATAAGGAAGTGATCACAGCACACACACTGGAAATCGTTGCAGAACGAGGAGCCAAGACCCTCTGAACAGAACATTAACTATAGAGCACCATGGTTGCTAACTCGCTATACTTAAATATGATAAAAACATGCGAAAATTACATTATAAAATATTGAATTTATGGGGAATATACAGGACTAAGAAGACTAAAGAATAACTATTCTGGAAATATACATAACATTAAAATTTTAAAATACATTTCACCGGATACAAAGTATATCGTATTTGCTTAAAAAGAAATATAGTAAAACGAAAGATAAGTTCTCATATAGTAGACTAGATATTATAAAGAGTTTGTAAACAACAAATGAGAGACACGAATCTAACATTTCCCTAAAAACATACATCTCATTAATGGCAACTTCACATTTACGCATAAACAATTTTACACATGTGAAGCTAGGATATTTTATTAACAACAATGTATATGATGAACGTGTGCTAGGCCGTGTAGCACGCGATCGGCTTTCGCGTGATCTCACAATTTCGATCGTAATAAAAAATATAATACATATTTATATATTTTAAATAAAAACACGTGATATATGTATGACAGCTTTACTATTTCGTGCCGTTTACATCACATTCCCTGATGTGATTTACTACTATATACACATAAATAACATTTAAGGTACATTTCATTGCGGTGCATTAAACTGAAGGGAAACGTTTGTACAAAATAAAATCACAAGCTGTCATGATCGCACCCATGAATATGTTAACTCGGGAGCAAGGGTGACTGTTCCCGTCATCTCATATAGAAATAGACAATTACAGATACATTGCAAATACATTGTCAACATGTAGATTTATCTCCTAATAAAATATTAACGTTCGCTTATGTTAATTATAATGCGCTTCTTATATAAACATCGACAGCGCTCTAATAGTAGAAAAAATTCGTAATATGAAATTAATTTTATAAAGGCCGTCATAACAGTTGCCGATTCATCTAACGTAACGGCGAGCTCATAGATCCAGTACACTGTCATGTATCTTGAGCGTCGGCACGAATTTTGAGAGTTGGAGAAATTTTTTGAAGTTTGATTGCGGAATTTGTTTTACCTGATTAACATAAATCATTAAACGATCATTGGACCAGTCCTTAGTTCGCTTATAACCGTACTAACCATCGTTACGTTCAGGTTTAAGGCATTTACAAACAAATCCATAAACTTGCGCTAGTGAAGTTCAGCGCTCCGAATTCGCGTCGTTAACTATACACTCGTTTGAAATGTCGTTGACTGTACTCACGTTGGGTGAGGTGCACGTGGAGGCGCGTGGGGTGTGGAGAGGCGTGTAGAAGCGCCTATAGGCGGGCGAGCGCACGCGGGCGCGCCGCCACGAGCGCGCGTCACGGGCGCGGCTCGACGAGGCGCTGCAGGAGCGCGGCCACCAGCAGCGCCAGCAGCAGGAAGCCGGCGGCCATGAGCAGCGCGGCGCGGCGCGGGGACAGCGGGCGCGCGCGCGGACGGCGGGCGCGCGGCGCGGCGGCGGGCGCGGGCGCGGCCGCGGGCACGGCCAGGCGCGCCGCCGCCGACCACGCGCCCGCTAGCCCGCCACGCACCGCACACACGCGCACCAGGTACTCTGCGCCCTGCTCCAGCTCCTCCAGCGTGAACTGCGTCTCGTTGCCCGCGTACACCTGCCAAAAGCGTCCCAATTTCAACTCAAACGCTACATCTTTAACTTTTTTCTATAGAATAAGGGTAATAAACGAGCATCATACAGTCCACCTGATGGTAAGTAGATGCTGTGGCCCATAGACATCCGCATTTATCTTCAATTACGAATCAGAATGAAGATGCCTAGTTACTCCTGAGGACTAAGATGGAATGCCTCGATTCCAGTAAAAAGAGTCTCCAGTTCTCTACACTCATCTTACGAAACACAGCAGCATTAAGCTGCCATTTTACGGTGGTATTTTGTGAAAACGTGGTCCTCTCCCGGTTGAGCCGACCTATTCGAACTACAACTATAATAGAGCTGCAGCGTGATTCTGCCACCTAAAAAGTAGCAGGGGACTATTTACAAACAGATCTATATATTATGTTAAAATGTGAATGAAAACTTTGTACCCCTCTTTAAGCATATTACGCGCACAAAGAAATGTGAGATTTGGCATGGATAAAGTTTACATGTAGAAGTGCAAAAATATAACATTTCTTTATAATGTTTGTTATTTGTACATGAAATAAAATAAAATAAAGTATTCATTTCTTTTTTCATACTGCCAATGTCAAAGACATAATATTCTGTGGTCAAACGGTCGCACAGAGTAGATACTGTTGTCAAGGAATTTATGATTGTTGCCAACAAATAATTACTAATCAATTTGCGTGATTTCGAGTGTTCCCATTTCAATAGTCTGTGGCTCTATAGCGTCAAGACAAAAATGCGTTTATATTAGGTACCCATTCCCTGTCCCATGAAACATATATGAACATTTCGATTGCTTAACTATTGTGTCTGTTTCGCGGACAGGGAAACTATTAATCTGCAGTTGAAAGTGAAATACAGCTTGCTTAATATACAAACCTAAAAATTTTTGCCCACCAATAGTGAGTATAAATTAATACCGACCTGTTTGTAAACGGCGTCCTTGGTGCGCGCGCACTGCAGCACGTAGTGTGCGTTGTCGAGCGGGTCCCATGCGACGGTGGCACAGCGCGGCGCGGGCAAGTGCAGCGCGGGCGGGCGCGGCGCGGGCGGCGGTGCGGCCGTTGTGCGCGCGCCCAGCGGAGCGCCCCACGAGCCGCGCCCGCCACGCTCGTCGCTAGCGCGGATGCGGAACCAGTACGCCGTCGCCTCGCGCAGCTTCTTCACCTTGCAGCTGCGCGCCGAGCCTCGGTATACCGGCCGGAACTCGCGCGACTCCGCCGCGCGCATCTCCACACAGTACACGCTTCCCTCTGCGCCCTCCCACTCCAGCTTGATAAAATTATGCGCGACTAGAGCACAGTGCAATTCGGGCGGCGCGGGAGGCCGTGGACGTGTCGCCGCGCGCGATTCCTCCGACCACTCGCCCATTCCCAGCTCGTTGAACGCCGCCACACGCACCCGATAAACTGTATCAGGTACGAGGCCTTCTACTAGATGTTCCGGTATCGGACCATCCGTCTCGAACGAGGACTCGTCGACTTCCACACGGTAACGTAGGATGTCCGCGCCGTGACTCGCTGGACAGCGCCAGTGAAGACGCAGACTGTCCGCTGTCGCCTCGTGACGAATCCCAGTTGGTGCAGCGGGAGGAGCGCGCGGAGTTAAAACGTCGCGGACGCCCGACCACGCTCCCCGGCCAGCTGAATTTGTGGCGCACACTCTGAAGAAGTACGGCGAGAACGGCGTCAACTTCGAAACCACACAAACCGTATCGCGACCACGATACACTTCTGCGAAAGCATCATCGACATTCGTTGCACTCATTTCGAGTCGATAGTCCAGGATCGGAGCGCCATTATCGCGGGACGGGTGCCATTCGAGGCGAGCGGTTCGCGCGTTTTCGACGTGGGCGATGGGAGTTTCAAGCGCATCAGGGGGTGCAGCTGCCGTCGTAAAATGTAGCGCTGGCGACGGCGGACCCGCGCCCACTTTATTGCAGGCGACGACCCACAATCGATATTCGCATCCCGGCTGCAACTCGCGGACGGTGCATTCTCTCTCGAGTGACGAATGCGCCAAACGTACAATGCCATCTCCATCGACGATCTCCACCCTGTACTCGGTAAGCGGCGAACCGCCGTTACAATCCGGCGGTCGCCATCGCACCGCTATTAATGTGGCTCTCGGCTCGGCCGCCATCTCGGGAGCGGAGCAGGCGCCGGGACACGTCGCCTCCGTCGTGATCGTTTCAGTAGTTGACCAGTCGCTTTCGCCGGCCACGTTGGCACAACGCACACGAGCGCGGTATTGGACTCCAGGTTGCAAGCGATCGCAGTGCGCCTCCCGCTCGGGTCCATTGTAAGTAGGTTGATAACCTTCACCTCCGTCGATTTCCAGCGTATAATTTTCAATAGAAGCACCCCCGTCGTCCGAGGGTGGATCCCACCTAAGTCGGAATGCTCGTGAGTGTATTTTTCCCTTTGGTGTCGGTCTGCTGGGGATTCCGGGCCTCTCGGGTAACGTACGATAGGTTACTTCTCGAGACCACGGACCTTGTCCGTCGGCATTCTCACATCTTAAACGGAAACGATAATCGGACGCTCGGCGCAAGGCGTTGCAAATGTAGGAGCACTCGGCACCGGTGAACACTGGCAGGAACCCGTGGCCGCGCGCCACCTCGTCCATCTGGAGAGTGAATTCTTCGTCGGCCTGTCGCTCCCAAGCGAGGGCGAGACAGTTGGCGGCGGCGTCGAGCAACTTCGGAGGCGCCGGAGCCGGTGGGGGAGCACCCATGGTCCAGCCGACGAACTCGTCGCTCCACTCCCCGCGGCCGCACTCGTTGACGGCGGCGATGCGGAAGCGGTGGCAGGTCTGCGGGCGCAGGTTGTTAACGGTGTGCTGGCGGGTGCGGGGGGCGCGAGATCTCGGCGAAGCCCTCGCCGGCGTCCATCTCGAGCAGGTAGTGCAGCAGGCGGGCGCCGTTGTCGGCGGGCGGCGCCCAGCGCAACAGTAGCGAAGAGCGCGCGCGGCTGGCGACGCGCGCAGGCGCCATGCGCGCCGGCGGCGCGGCGGGCGCGCGGAACGTCGCCGCCTCGCTGGCCGCGCCCGTCTGCTCGCCCGCGCGGATCTGCAGGCACACTGAGTACTCGCACCCCGGCCTCAGGTCCCGTACCCTGCAACACGTAATAACTCCGTCCTTTTTATGTGCGACTAGACAGTAATGGGGCATGACATATGATTACGTGAATGTATGAGGAATCATCATGGTATGCCAGCATTTCAGAACAGCTTGCATGAAAGTAAAGAGGTATTTGAATCGTTGTTCAATAATTTGTAATTTAAGAAACAAGTGATTGTATTTTTATGTAATAAAATATATAAAAAATATATACATAATATATATTATTAGTTTTCCCTTGCGTTTCCGTTAACACTCGTGTTGTAAGTGTGCTAGTTCATGTCATTGACGCCGTTTAGAATAAAACTGAGCTGTCGCATGACATGCCAACCCGAAGAAAATCATGCATACAGTCAATCATATCATAATCACAAACAATTGTATCATCATGGGTGATTTTAATACAAAGCTCCAGACTCTCACACTCGTCCCGTTTCTGTACTAGCCACTCATCACAATTCCGACGGGGAGGACACCTGGGTCGACTTAATGTTCACCTCAAACCCCACACTTGTCTCTCCTCAAGGTCAATATTATGCATCTGATTTCTCCCATCATGACCTAATTTTCGTGTCATTTCTCAAACCTTCCAAACCCTCACCAAAAATCTTGCACTTGCGGTGTTTTGCAAGCATGGATATAGAGAAGTTGTGTCAGTGTACGCCTTAAATCAACTGGGACATTATGATTGATCTTTATGATGTACATGCTCCTATCAAAAAAGTTAAGCTGTAGCGGCTGCCTGCACCTGGGATGACAGAGTGCGTATCATTTGTATGCTGATGAACTGCAGTTGTATTCACAGACGAGGGTCGATTGTATATCTACGACAACTGAGTCAGTTAATAGGGGCCTAGAGAATATAAAGAACTGGTTTAACAGGTTTGGCCCTAAAGTTAACCCATCCAAATGTTAGGCTATAATAGTAAGTAGCCATCGGTCTTTTACTTATGTTTTAGGGTACCGTGAAAGACCTTGGCTTACACATTGATTCCACAATGAGCTGGCAAACTCAAGTGGCAAATGTTTGCCAGAAAGCTACAAGTATTTTGCGTGCTCTATACCGCCTGAAAAATTTTCTCCCATCCAGAACTAAAACGATTATTGTGCAGACCTTAATTTTTTTCCCTTCCTGACTATGGTAACATAAATATGGCCGTCTTCTTAATAACTGCATTCGATTCATTTTTAATCTTCGAAAGTATGATCATGTGTCTACTTATCGCTCTCAACTTAACTGGCTTCCTATTCGTCAGCGCTGTAGTCTACGTGCACTCACTACTCTTTATTCCATCCCGATGTCTCCTCATTCTTCATTTTATTTAGCTTCTCGTTTTCAGTATCTTAACTCCAACCATGACAGAGTTCTCCGTTCTACTACTAATCTCCTGCTTTAGTGTTCCTTTTATAGTACAAAATTTTTCCAATATTTTTTTTGTCCAATCTGTTCTTCTTTGAAACGCTCTTCTTCCAAAGAAAATCAGGAGGGCCGAATACCGGGTTTTGTTTAAATGCAGTTCGAAAACTTCTTGAACAAAAAACGACGGGAGCAATTCAGCGTTCTTTGTTATATTTATGTATATATATATATATATATATATATATATATATATATATAATATTAACATAAAGCGCGTTTTTATTTTATAATTTATTATTTTATTTACGCATTACCAGTGCGTGTTGCCAGTGATGACTTACGGATCTGAGACGTGGTCCTTCACCGCGGGCCGTATGAGGACGCTCAAGGTCGCTCAGCGAGTTATGGAGAGGGCTATGCTCGGGGTTTCTCTGTGTGATAGACTCCACAAAAACTGAGCAAATCCGCAGTAGAACCAGAGTGACCGACATAGCCCAACGGATTGGTAAGCTGAAGTGGCAATGGGCCGGCCATATAGCTTGAAGAACCGATAACCGATGGGGAAGAAAGGTTCTCGAGTGGCAGCCTCGTACCGGTAGGCGTAGTGTAGGGCGACCCCCCACTAGATGGAGTGACGACCTGGTAAGACATGCAGGAAGTCGATGGATGCAGGTGGCTCAGGACCGTGCTTTGTGGCGTTACTTGGGGGAGGCCTATGTTCAGCAGTGGACTTGTGAAGGGCTGTAATGATGATTTTTTTTTTTTTATATATATACATACACACACAACACGTAACATAATTAACGCACTTTGAGAAAGTAGTTTGTTCAGAATCGTTTACTCAATCGATTCCTATCATTTTTAATATAGGTTATTTTTATCCTAAAAATAATTAAAACTACATAAATTACAGTCACACTAAATCTGTACAGTCAAAACAAACTGAAATGGACCGTAAATTAAGGCAATAAGACTTTTAAGAGTGCAGTTTTATTTGTATTATTACTAATTCTGTCATTCAATAAAAATAAAGAAAAATGAGCTTTATTTCAAGCACGTCAAAGTCTTTGCGTTCGTGGATTTGTACTGTGACCACAACATTCTTCCGGAATTAGTATAACTAATTTGATAAATAATCAGTTAATAAAAATGTTTAACTAAAAATTCAGTGTATGTATTATGATTATAACATAATATACTAATTGTGGTGTCTGAGGGTGTGCGTTAATTATGTTACATATTATATATATATATATATATATATATATATATATTTTCTATATATGTGTTAGGTTAGGTACATACTTCTTTTTTACACCTACCTCTTTTATCACTGCACTACTCTAAGGTAGACTGGTAGATAATGCCTAGGCCATTACGTCAGCCTTATATACATTTTAGTGTATATGAAGTTAAATAAATCACAGGATGCAAATGAAAAGAAATGTCAAAAAATGAAAAGAATTGTCAATCAACCGCCAGCACATAGTTTACATGTTATTCGAATCAACCAATACAAGTCTACAATCATACATGTATAACAGCACTTAAGGCATGTCACAACGCATTACTGTCAGGGCCCGCTTTACATGTGTCCTTTTGATTAAACTGACATATAAAGCATTATTATGATTCAACATTCGCATTCAAGTTTTAAGGTTTTCATTTATTATCTATTTATTTTGGACTAGAAATGTTACAGAATGGCAATTGTAACAAATACAATCCTGTCATCATCATTACAGCCCTCCATAAGCCCATGGCTGAACATACATTTCCCCCAAGGAATGTCACAATACGCCATCCTAAACCAGCTGCATCTTTCGACATCCTGTATGTTTACTAGGTTGTTACTGATCTGTTGGACTATGTCAGTTACTTTGGTTCTACTGCAGACATAGCATAACCCTCTCAATAGTTTGCGGAGTGACCTTTACAGTTCTCCTGTCCGCAATATAAATACAATAGTTAAACAATTGAAATGTTTATATGACAGGGAAAGGGTTTAAAATTCTAGACACGGATTCTGGAACCGAATGTCATCACTGACAATACCCACTTGGTGGGTATACATGTTTTCAAGTTAGATAATTTTTGTTCAGAAATATTTACTGCTAAATAATTCTGATGTGTTCAAACCAAATTATTTATTAATAATTTAAGCAAATATCCATCCACCATCCATCCATTACAAAAGTCGTCCCAAAAGTGCTGAAAATATGGCACCCATGGATTGCCTCACTGGAAGATTATGCCATAGTTGACAAGCTTGGTGAGCGGGTTGTTGGTAATTTGAGTTAATCTGAAGGATGCTGCTGCCCATAACCTGTTTCAATTTCCCTCTGTCACCTCTTACCACACCTACAGGACGATATGGGGTAGTGGACATTCTCACATCGCCCATACACGGTATCAAATACATAAGTTCAATCATAATTGATACAAACCTGCATGATAATGATGGTCCACTGTAAATAGCTTTATATCGACCTCTGTCGCCCAAAAGTAAATCATAAGTCAATTCCACATTCGGCAATGAAACTCCTTCAGGCAATGGTGAGTTCCATTGCACCAAAGCACTGGTAGGAGTTATGTCGCTAACCTAAAACAATGAATAAGGCCAAATTTAATTTTTTGAACTTAAAATTTAAAAGTACAATAGAATTAGAAGCAATATTTAAGTAAATAACCATAGAACTATTAGGCTTAGAACCGCAGTAGGCGCACGCAGTGAAGCCATTTCAAGTTAGCCTTTTAAGGCTACCTACGACTTTCGGCGCGTCAGTACTCGAGTCCACGTAGTGGTGTAAAGAGCTCGAGCAATTTTGCAAAAAAATGACGTACTGCACTGTGAAAGAGTGTCACAACTCATCACATTAATCATGAAAAAAATTTTAAAATCTAATTTCACGGGTCAATACCGCCTAGCATCTTATATTTTTGTAAAAACATTCATCAAAACAAAATAATAAATCGTAAATTTGACAGACGCCAATATAACGAAAATGTTGCTAGGCATAGTAAAATATTTTACCCCATATTTTCTTATTATTATTTTACATGCTGCTAATATGGGACTTTTATTGTTGTATTTTTATTTGGCAAATAAAAATACTTACAATATTCACGCATAGATTATGTTTTGGTAATTTTATACTATCGCGGTCACCTCGTTTTTTGGCTCTAGAAAATCGAAAAATCTTCGTCTTTACGGCGGAACTTTATGAAAAAACAATATATAAAATATCTCACCTTAAGATTTCATCTAGTTTTATAACTTTAAATGTGACCATAAACGCACTTCTTCGAATATAATCGTTCGTAACTTTTTTGAAATCGTTTTTTTCTTAATCTACACAAAAAACAAACATTTAAAAAAAGGCATTGAATAATGTTTGTTTATTAATTTTATATCTACTAAGTTTTTGACTTTAAATGTTATCATAAGTGCTCTAGAAAATCGAAAAAATCATCCGATTCCGATGAGTTTTTTTAAATCTTCGTTTTTACGGAAAAGATCAAAATGAAAAGAATTAACTATGTATTATATTCAAAAATAAATAAATAACTTATATTATCGTCGAAAAAATCTTGTAACAAATAAAAAATGATGCAATGTTTGACAGTGATCTTAATCTAAAAAAATTTTTTGAAAAAAAAATCACATAATAATGTTTATTTATTAATTTTTAGCGAAGCAAGCTTGGTACGTAGGGCATCCCGACTCGGATAGGCTAGGTAAGTTAGATGGAGATCCTGTCGACATCTCCTTTGCTCTCTATTCGCTCGCTCATTCGATCCCGCCAACTGCGTCTAACCTAACCTTTCCGAGTCGGGATGCCCTAAGTCCCGAGCTCAATAATACAATTTAAAAAAAACAAAATACAAAATTATTAAACAAACATTTTTAATTTTTTAAATGTTCCTTTTTTGTGTAGATTATGAAAAAAAATATATAACAACTTCATTCGATTATTTTTTAAAAAGTTATCAACAATTATACTGTGAATTTATACAATATATTACAAATTATATTGTGAATGAGTGCATTTTCATAAACATTTAAGGCCTTGAAACCAATATAAATTTTAACTTTTTTAATTCTTGTAATTTTTTTCATAAATCCGCCGTAATAATGAAGATTTAAAAAAAAGAATCAATCCTCGAAATCGGATGATTTTTCGATTTTTAGAGCCAAAAAGGAGGTGACCGCAATAGTATAAAACTACCGGTATTTTTATTTATTGTTTAAGTACTTGGTTATAATATAGTCATTTAATACATATTTTTAATTTCATGTTTTATTTGAAAAGATTTTTTTCTTCTGAATCGATTTCGATTTAATAAAACAACGCCTATTCAATAAAATATATTATATATTTATATAAATATATAATACTTTACATATGCTTATATAAATATATCTTCTAACAGAATAATATAATGACATTATAGATTTGTGAATATACATTCTAGCAAAAGATATTTAAAACATTAATGCTTTATTTAAATTATATATATACGTAATATCTTGTGCTATAAAATACATTTACAAATCTATTACGTTATTATATTATTAGTTACGAATGATATATTTATATAGTATATATCACTATGATATATATATATATATATATATATATATATATATATATATATATATATATATATATATATATATATGTGTTATATATTTATTTAATTATAATATAATTTTGTATGACACTATATCTCCAAGTCTAATTACTCTATGTAAATAACGACAACAAACAATGGCCTTCTTTCACAAAGACCAGGCACATAGACAATATATGATGTATAGAATTAACCACTTGGTCCTGGTAGACCCACCAAGTAGATCCATTAGTGGGATATACATATCTAGGCTAACATGTCTTCTCTCTGTAGTTTCTTCATCTTCAATTGTACCTTTCTTTGCATAATCAATTATTTTTTACGAATACTATGAGTAGTACATACATAATAACATAAACACTCATGTCTTTCACCCAGAGGGGTAGGCAGAGAGTACGAACTACCATTTGGCACGATCCTGACATACCTCTCTCGCCTTCTTTACATCCATATATCTACGCATACATATGCTTGTCGGTTAAGGGTACTTCTAATGTGGCCCCTTTTCAAAATATCGCCAATTTGATCGATAAACTTTCGTCTAGGGCGTCCCTTCCTGACCCTGCCGTTCACATCTGCCATATAAATTTGCTTGGTAACTATTTCCTCATTCCACCGAAGCATTACTTTCACATTTTTTACATTTTTCTCTTATCACACAATTTCTCACCGTCATTCAGATTCAACCCTAGCATACTCCTTAAAAACCGCATTTCTACAGCATTTATTCTACTTTCGTGATTCTTCTGCCACACCCAACTTTCACTACCATACATTAAAGTACGGATTAACACAGCATTATGAATTACCATAAGTGCCTTTTTTGACACATTCTGATTCTTCAAGTATAGAGAGAGCCCCAATCACTCTATTTCCTGCATTCACTCGTTGTTCTATATCCTTATCATATCTACCATCCCTGCTAAATACACATCCCAAATACACGAACTCATCCAATTTCACAATCAATAGAAGGGGACTTCTATTCTTATTTCACATAACGTTTTACTTTCTTCTCTTTCAAAAACCATCACTTTCGTCTTACTTGCGTTCACTTTCATTCCCCTTTCTTTTAATGCCTAGTTAATTAATGTAACCATCATTTGCAATTCAGCCGCCGACGACGCAAATATGACTTGATCATCGGTGTACAAAAGGCATTTGACGGTTAACTCGCCCATTCTTAACCAGCATTCTTCATCTTTCAAAGTTTGCAAACAACTATCCATAAGTAGGTTGAACAGCCACAGAGAAGCTACACAGCCCTGTCTGACACCTTTTTGGATGCCAAACCAGTTAGAGTAGACCCCGTTGATCCTCACACAAGCACTAGAATCCCTACAAAGAGACCTTAATGCCTGTGTTATACCAGCGCTCAACCCAAATAAGTTCAGTATTTGCCATAACACAGTCCTGTCCATTCTGTCACAAGCCTTTTCCAAGCCCATGAACGCACAAACAACTTCCTAGTTTTTGGCCAAAACTTCTCCGCAATCATGCGCATGGAAGACTTCATCTGACTTGAATCTTGACTCTCCCATTCCCTTTCTAAATCCCGCTTGCACATCCCAAATTTTTTTATCAGTTTCTTTCATAAATCTTTCAATTAACACTTAAGCATAAGTTTACCCACAATACTAAGCAAGCTGTGACCCTTTTCCTTTATATATTGGGACTATAACTGCTTTACACCAGTCTTCCGGTACCTGCTTCAATTCCCAACATAAATTAAACAAGGTGTAAGCAGGCCTGTAACCACTCCCTCTCCAGCCGCGAGATCGCGGTATCGCGAGTGATACTCTATCATATCCAGCTGCCTTAACTGCTTTCATGTTTTTCATTGCTTTCATTATTTCATCTACACTTATCTCCACACCCCTTTCCACTTATTTCGGACAGTTCTTACGAGTTTCCAGAACATTTTAATATTTGCCTGGAAGTTATCAGATATCTTCTATTATTCTTATCCCATCTTTCTTGCTTTTTTCTTTCAACTACTTCTTTTACTGTCTTATTTAGATGTCTAAATTCAGTCTTTTCTCTTTCAATCTCATCATTCATACTGCCAGAATATCTGAATATGTAATAAATTGTATTAATAATTAATGCTCTCTTCTTTGCTTCAACTTCCACCCGTACCTCATCATCCTACCACAACATATTATTTATCCTTTCATTTTTTCTCTTACTTACACCACATACTTCGGTGGCTGCATCCACCAAACCTTTCTTAACATTATCCCACACAGTATTCAAGTCTAAATCATTCATACACAACTCATTCAAACACCTAATATTTTCCCTCAGTCTACATTTATACTTCTCTTTCACATCTTCATTTTGTAACTTCTCTATTCATATACACTGTAACGCAGTGGTAGACACAGATATCCGATGCCTACAATGCTTGACCAACATAAGACCAAGTAATGATCCGTCACTATATTGGACCCCCGGTAAACCCTTGTATCTACCACTGTGCTCCTCGTTCTTTCATCTACAATTATGAAATCTATCATGCTTCTATCATCACCTCTTTCTCATGCATACATTTGAATCTTCTTATGAAGAAAAAAAGGGTAAAAAGATTCTTTTCCACACATACGGTGAGGAGGTCTTCACCATTCTCATTTATACTTTCATCACCAAACATTCCCAATATCCTTTCATAACCAGACCTCTTCACCCTATATTTTCATTTTCCTTACATTTCATCAACACCATTCTTACCATGTCCCAAAACTGCTCTCGGATATTAGTGGGTTTAGACACATCTGGGGCGTACACCCCTAGCACAAACAGCTTCTTTAAGCCCACTTTCATTCATATACATAGAGGCCTCAGGCTTACACATTCATACTCTTTCACACATTGACCCATTCTTTCTGAAAGGATGAAACTGACTCCCTGGTATGCCCGCTCGGTCTCATCTACACTAGACCAATATGCGGTATACATGCTATGTGCAGTGGCATCCATTCCCTTTTGTTTCGTCTCATTTACGCATAACACATCTATTCCTCTGTCAATCATTAATTTCGCATACTTCATCCATCTTATCATTCATTGCTCCACATACATTTAGCATAGCCAAACGGGCTTCCGCAATCCACTTTTCGCCCCTCCGGTAGACAGAACGTGGCGAGTGGCGAACCTCGTCGCCAGTTTTACTCCCGGAGATTCTTCGCACCCCTGCCCCAATAAAGAGGCGCCGGGAACTCGGGGCCATTTCTTTTATTTCATGCCTCATGGAAAGAACTAGGAGGGGGAGGTAGATTTTACGCTGCTACCATACAGCGAGAAGCCGAGTCTATTTTATTTCGGCTTTGTCGCTCGTTTAGCACCACCCGGGCGATACGTGTAGGGTGAGCCTAGGGTTAGGTGGTCGAAGCCTACGGACGCGAGTGACTTTTCCCCTATATTTTACTAAACATTTGGCTTCTTAATATTGGCGTGTATTCATTCTACATTTTTTATTTATCAATAGATCTTAACAATATAAATTTATTTTTATTGCAAATCACAAGCACGACATTTGATTAGCAAGTAATTATCACTATCAAATACCCATTCATGGTTTTATCACTTATGTTAAAAATGGCTTCCACTGTTTAATTATATTTAAATTTAAGATTATATTTAGGTTTTCTTGTTTGAATTCTACAGTTATTATTAAAATTATACTATAAATTTTCAAACTTTTTTCAATCTAAATCAGTCAAAAGCTATAATAGAAATTATGTGCTGAGTGAATGCTGTGATTATTTTATATGGTAACTGAAAGATGTTGATGAATTTATGGTCGGAACTTTATATCTTACGAAGGAAATATTTCTTATTAAGGTTTACCTGTGGGGTTCTCGTAGCAGATAGTAGATCAAGAAATGCTTGTGTATCACTATCATCATCACCCTGTACAGAAGCTCCTGCCGAAGAACCTTCTCCTTCCGACCAGGCGCCTGAAGAAGCGCCACCACTACCGCCATTTCTGCCATTAAGCTCTTTACGTGGTGATAACGAAGGTGTACTTTCGCCAGAATTGATTTCTGCAAAATAAATGTTTACAGCTTAATTTAATAATGTAATACCAAACATAAAAACTCAAAGGACATAAGAACGGAGATTTGCCAATTGTGCAGGATAGGATATATTAATACACAACTGTATGCACAATTACAGGTGAAATCACTTTTCCCTCATTTTCATAGAGTGATGGGATGGTAATGGAGGGAAAAACTGCCAACTTCTTGACTCCGGGTTAATTTTAGCTCAACTTGGACCTAGGACCACATGATCAACAGTCAAGCTTATGACCACAAAACCAACTATTTAAAATAATCCATGTACCAAAATATTTTATAAACATATTTACAAAATAATAAATAAAACAAATCTTGTAGTTCATCAAAATTATTTGAACATATCAACTTTTCACTCTGAAAAGAGTGTCTTACATAAACCATGTCATTTATATTTATCTCTTCTCTTAATTGGGTTAAAAAAATAGTCAAACTCGTATAGACTCAACAAACTTATAAGTAAATAATATAATATTATATGCTACATAATTATGAACATGTATACCGTTATCTCTTATGCACTGTTGAATCTATGGGATATTTATCAATTATGCATACATTGACTGCTAATAGCAACCTCCTTTTGGTTGCATCATACTTAAAGAAAATGTAAAATATAGTTGTATTTTATTATTAAACATTACATAGACACTTACCTACACCATTATTTCTACTTGTGTGTTTGCGCTCCAATTTTTGTTTAAGTTTTGAATATTGGCGTTGAGTTCTTTCATCCTTTTGGTAGACTGGTGGTGGTGGAGAATGCTGCATGTGATGAGGAGGCACATGATGGAAATGAGTTGGGTAGCCAGCACCATAGAAATGTTGTGGACCGCCCGCACCATTTGTTGGTGGTCCCTGTAAGAAACATGCTTTAACTGTATTATGACCGCAACGTGAAAGGGTCAGCTCAACCAGTCAAGGACCATGACCACGCTCACTTAGATTACTAGCATAAAACTAACATAATGCAGAATAACAAAAACTGTAGAATCTTTTTACTGTTAACCAGGCATTCCATTTTAGTCCTCAGGGGTAACATTTGCATTTTGAATCTTAGGTAGATGTCAGCCATAGCATCCACTTACCTTTAGAAGGATTGTGTACTTGTTTGTTAGCATTTTTGTATAAATTCATACTCATATAATTTTATGTAATACATAATAATATATTCTTTATTTTAATAGTAAATCTTAATCCCAATTTCTTTTAAAAAAATATAAACTAGTACTAGTAGACACATATCTCTAACAATAACTAAAGTTACTGTTTTTTAAAAACTCGAACAACTGGAATCCATCTTTCATAAAATGAACATTGTTCTATCTTACAAATAAGACATAAATATAGCATACCTAAATAATAAAATAGAAATAATAGAAAAATAATTGCATTCTATTCTTTTTGTAAGAAAATAAATTTCATAATAACATAAAAATTACTATCCTTACATACTTAGCATACATAAATAAGATTTTTAATTTATTTAGATAGTAAATAAATAAAAAATATTTTTATGTAAACTGACCTTATCTGTATCATTTGCAGATAAATTAATTTTTGGTCTATCCGAATTAACCATAATATACAAACTGAAAGTAAATTAATAAACACAAGTACAGGAAATACTGTAGATATTTAGCTATTCAGCAACAAACAAAACGGTCATCACAAAAACGTTAAACGTCAACAACAAAATTCAACGCCACGTAGGAACGTACCACTCACTACCAACAACTTCAACTCGTTCGCCACTTCGCTAGCGATAACCGATAACACTCGCATTCGCTAATCACACAACCGATTTATTACTATGAACTTGATGTTGTAATACACAGCACAATATAAGTTAAAATTACGTAACACGTAATCCCGTCTTCGTTTTTGTTAGTTACACAGTTGTATGATTGCAATTCCAAGCAAAAATTATGTTTACAAGCGAGACAATCGATAAATCGACGGAAATTGTTTGCACAGGCACAGATACATATTGAATGCACATTGGTTTAAAAACATTTTGCGATACTCTCATTATCGTTCCACTTTGTAGATTTTAATATTATTTGGACAGTAAAGACATTTTAACTTAAGAATTACATTTTAGTTGTTTTAAAAGTACTTTGTGATTGGTATCGATAATGACATTATGTAGTAATTAAGTCTTAAACCAACAACTCAAATATTAACTCAAGCAATAGCAAATCAAGAGTAATTATAAAAAAAATAAGTTGAATGACATCAAAGGCAAACATAAAGTAAAAAACATTTAACATAAGTAACACCAAAGCCTTCACTTCATTTTCTACCTTTTAGAATAATTTTACGCAATTTTACGTCTCTACAAGAAGAATAAAATTAATCATAAACATAATCTGTAAAACCAAAAAGTTTTTTTCCGTGGTCAAATTGGTGACTCCGACGTGATATGAATGCAATATGCAATCTTCCGAAACTGTAACTTTAAGCTTTCGTAATCGTCCTAGAAAACTCCTTCCATTCGCGCTCAAGCGAACGTAGTCTGCAGTTTCCTGCTCCTACGAATCAGCCTAGCTTTACAAGGTTCATCGCAGTACTGGAAAAAGGCTTTCTATTCATACAAACTTCTAACTGCGCTAACGAAGCCTAAATCACGGTATCAAAGTTTCCGGAGTACTCCGGTTTATGTAGAATAGCTCCGTAAACATACCACACGGGGCGCTGGCCGCTACCTAAACTAAACTTAGCCATACTACTTTTTTTATAGGAGTATGGTGACAAACGAGCACACAGTCCATCTGATGTAAAGTTTATAATATATAAGTTAGTTGCTGTGGCCCATAGACATCTATCCTAGACTACGAATCTAAATGCGGATGCGTTGTCACCCGTGTGAGCACTAAGATGGAATGCTCCATTTCCAGTAAAAGGTGTCTACGGTTCTCTAACTCAGAAAACGAAAAACAGCAGCGTTAAGCTGCTATTTCACGCTGGTAGTCTGTGAGAGCGTGGTCCTTCCCCGGTCGAGCCGACCAATTCGTGCTACAACTATACTACTAATATAGCTGCAGCATGGCTCTAGAGTTAAACGCAGCTTTTTGTAGCCAGCGCCTCCATATAACTTATTTTATTACTGAAAAATAATGCTAATTCGAAGTTATTAATAACTTCGAATTATTAAGGACTATATGTACCAACCTACCTAACAAAATACTTTTTTTAGGTATTTATTTAAGTACACCGACGATTGTTGCAACAATGCAGAAATAGTAAGCACACATAAACTTATATACTAAATGCACAATCAATTAAAGATATACACCGCATGCATCACGTCACTAAAAAGTTACATAGTAGTTACATAAAATACAAAAACTTATGATAGAACAAAGTAATAGCATGTATAAAACAATGACTTACACATAGTTACTTAAATAATGTATCGGTTACTGTGGCCTTATTACTTAGCTATGCTCATATTTATATATAATATGAACTATTGACTCTCCGCACTTATTACATAGTTGGGAAATCCTGCAGACCGGTGAATTGGCTCCCAGAACTGTTTTGCGAAACGGACGAGAGAGATGTTCAATGGGCTTGCGGGGCATTCGTGACGGAACCTTAAAATTGGATTTCATTAGGAGTGCAGGACAACGCAACTGATATCTTATTATCTTGAAAAAGAAGGATAGGTCAAGTAGATCCCTACGATTGTCCAAGCTCTACATCCTTAGCTCTGCGTCCTTGTAGGGGCTCAATCTTATATGCCAGAAGTGTTAGAACACGAAGTGTTTAACTAATCGTTTTTGAATGCGTTCTATACGAAGTATGTGAATGGTATAATGTGGACGCCAGACCACACTTCCATACTCAAGGATCGATCTGACCAAGCTATTGTATAGCGCAATTTTCATGGAAGGTCGTTTCAATACTCTAGCATTCCTTATAATAAAACCCCGCATCTTGGACGCCCTTCCTATGATGTAGTCAATATGTGGGACAAATGTCAATTTACTATCCATAAGTACACCCAGATCCCTGACTACTGTCTTTTCTTCTAATCGAATTCCACTAATGCTGTAGACGGATGAAACAGGATTCAATTTTCTTGTGAATTTAATGTGAACACATTTATTGATATTGAGCTCCATTCCATTCGTCTGACACCACTTCACTAGCGCGTAAAGATCTTTTTGTAAATGCAAAACGTCCTCTTGTGTTTCAATCACTTTCCACAATTTTAGGTCATCTGCGAACATCGACGGAGACGAGTATTTTATGTAATTAGGTAGATCGTTTACAAAGATATTGGAAGAGAATAGGACCTAGGTGAGAACCTTGCGGAACACCAGAAGTAATACTATCAAATGTTTTGCTAAAATCTGTATATAACGCGTCTACTTGTTTATTACCATCAATACGACTAACAATGTCCTCAACATACGTAACTAGATTAGTATTAGTAGACCTACCTTTTGTGAAGCCGTGTTGGTTGTCGTTTAAATATTTGTCGAAGTCGGCTTGCAGAATAGGGTAGACTAGAGACTCGAATACTTTAGCTAATGAGGACAATATGGAAATAGGCATATAGTGTCTAATGAGCTGAACATCACCGGCCTTGTATATTGGTACCACTTTTGATACTTTCCAAGCTTTGGAAAAAACCCCAGAACTCAATGAGTTGTTAAAGATAATAATTAAGGGCTCCACCAGGCATTATTGCGCATCGTGAAATGAATAATGGTGAAATAGTATCACTCCTAGGGACCACCGTTACATAAATATTGACAATTTTTTTATAGATTTGCTTGCGGGAAAGATGTAGAGTCGAAAACCTATCGATTCCTCCCCCCACAAATGCACCAAATAATTCTCGTCAGTATTTATGTCGCAGGGGACGCCAAGATTGGAGGTAGTAGAGAAGAAGGAAGATGCAAGGCTATTGCATATGTCATTACCATTTCGTAATTTGAGTATTACCGTTTGTCCATATGGATATATTCCAGAAACACCACGTTTGGTCTTGATATAAGACTAGAACACTTTCGGGTTCTTTAATATTCCATCCTCAATTTTACGAATATATACATTGTATCATTCTGAGGGCAATTTCTTGCAACGCTCAGTCAGTAGGCGATATGATATCCTGTGTAAGGGGTTGCTGTATTTTTTGTACCTTAGTCTAACCCTATTTTTCTCTCGCAAGCGACTAATCAAGTCCTTACTGAACGAGGGAGGATATTTATTAGTGTTTGGTTTGACAATTGGTACAAGCTCATGAATGGCTTTATTAAGAACATCTAATAACAATTCAAGTTTCTTATTTACATCACTGTGCCCATAAAATAGAGACTTCCAATCAACTTCTGCTAAATAGTCATAAATAGCAGCATAATCTACTTTTATGTAAATGAAACCTACACACAGAATTGGGCTGTAGCTATTTTTGCATATGAATACACACTACATCTAATTTTATTATACTCCTCATAACATCACACACTACTATAAACATAGGCCTGTTCTCGAGCACGGTCCTTAGCAAGCTGCATTAATTTCATTCTTGTGTATTAATAAATAATAATAACAAAATAAACTTACATAATGGTGTGGTGGTTGATGGTGCGGTGGTTGGTGGTGCGGCGGTGGCTGGTGGTGTGGAGGCTGGTGATGAGGCGCATGGTGCGGATGCTGCGCGTGAGGGTGTGCTACCAGGTAATGTCGAAGCCCCTCGTCTAACACCGGTGGCATCATTGCTGGCATCATTGTGGCCGATGTCACAACTGGCATACCACCTGTTTGTAAAAAAAAAATCACTACTTAGTTGACAATTTAAACAAAGTGTGAAATTGTACAGAAACAAATAATCTACATTTATAGAAGGATCACATAAAACGTCCATTTGTGAGCTAAAATTAAGCAAAGAATTTTATTTACAAAAATGTTAATGCGTGCGAATAAATAAAAATTTGTTGGCAATGTCTTTCGGATCCAATAAGAACCGTAGCACATAGTCTTGAAGTTTTTTTATAAAGCAAAATTCAATATATTATATATTATACTAATTTATAAATCAAAATTTGTGTCGGTTTGTGTAATATAATTTTCTTATTTCTCAGACATGCAGGTTTCCTCATGACGTTTTCCTTCACCGTCGAGCACGTGGTAAATCAGCAAAATTGCAATTAACAAATTCATTACTGCCGGCGGGGATCAAACCTGGGTTGCTCGCGTACTGTGAAATTTACAGCGAGCGCTAACCATCTAAGCTACCACGGCTCTTCAAAAAAATATTTCAACGACATATGAAGTTCGCCAACACGAATTGGGGCAGCGCGACAGACATTTCCTCGACCTAAAACCCTCTCAGAAATGGGGGGAGGCCTGTGCCTAGCTGTGGGCTGCAATTTTAACTTTAGTGTCATATGTATTTGGAAAAAAATTTATTGCATTGGTTGATAAACGAGCACACAGTCCACCTGATGGTAAGAGGATGCTGTGGCTCATAGACATCCACATTTATCCTCAATTTAGAATCAAAATGCAAATGCCTTGTCACCCTTGAGGACTAAGATGGAATGCCTCGATTCAAGTAAAAAGGGTCTTCGGTTCTCTACATCCACCATACGAAACAAAGCAGCATTACGCTGGTATTCTGTGAGAGCGTGGTCCTGCCCCGGTAGAGCCGTTTACCATTCCAACCCATTCGTGCTATAACTACAATATAGCTGCAGCGTGGCTCTACCACGTAACCGTAACTCTAAAATCTATTTAATACCCTTTTCAAATTTCATTTTTTTTAAAAACTGAAGTGACAAATGCAATTGCAATTCGTCTGATGGTGAGTCGCTACTACAGCCCGTGAACATCTTCAAACAAAGAAGGCAGATGCGTAGTCACCTCTGGAGACTGAGACGGAATGCCTTCCAGCCTGTAATTATGCCGGCTCCTTACACCCCTCATACCGAAACATAGCAGTGCAAGTACTGCTACTTGGCGAGGGAAATGGGAGAGAGAGGTACTTACCCAGACACACTCCGAGGCAGAAAAAGACCACCAAGTAAAAATCTAATGTTGAAATTATTAGTATGTAGTAATCTTTGCTCTAAATTTCAAAAAAACACAATCCATTCGAATCAAAAAGATCAAAAGTTGTTCCTAACAACCTAACATGTCAAAAAGTAAATTTTTGAAGAATACAAAAATCTGAATAAATTTTAAATAATATACGTGGGCCACAGCATCCACTTACCATAAAGTAGTCTGTTTGCTCGTTTGTGACCCTTATTCTATAAAATACATACAGGCTTTTAGTACAATTAACGCTTTCGTACTAAACGCCTTCATTCTGTAAGGTTTAAAATAATCCTTCCAATTAATGGCAAATTATTGGTTCTATAACTTTAAATAATATAATATTTTAAACGTGGTAGAGCCACACTGCAGCTATATTATCGTTGTAGCATGAATGGGTCGGATCGACCGGGGCAGGACCACGCTCTCACAGAATACTAGCGTAAAATAGCAGCTTAATGCTTCTGTGTTTCGTATGGTGAGTGTAGAGAACTGGAGACCCGTTTAACTGAAAACGAGGCATTCCATCTTAGTCCTCAAGGGTGACAACGCATCTGCATTTTGATTCTTAATCGAGGATAAAAAGTAGATGTCTATGGGCCACAGCATCCACTTACCATCAGGTGGACTGTGTGCTCGTTTGTCACCCATATACCGACTATAAAAAATACAATGCCACTGATAATGAAGTGTGAGTACCTATATACACTGGAAAAAGTGGCGAATGTAGTGGCAAAGATATTGGCCGAGAATTTGTGACGGCATACACACGTTGGAAGGTCGTTCAGTTTGCTTCGGTTCAGGCCAATATGCAAACGCATTTAGATGACAGCTCCTTGGCGCAGTGGCTTAGCAATGAGTGGCTGCGCCGGGGGCCGCGGGTTTGAATCCCGCACGGAACAAGTATTTGTATGTCCTACAAATAATTGTTCCGGGTCTGGATGTGTGTCCTTGTGCAATTTATGTTTGTAAGCTGCCTCCGCGATACAGGAGAAAATCCAAGTGTGGGGGTAACGTTTTTATAAAATAATTATAAAAGAATAGTGGATATTAATGGGACTGTAAATAGATATATAATATACGATTAGCTTTATTTATTCTTTACATGCATCATAAACTGGAAATAAATACCATTAATTAGAACTTAACTTATTTTAAAGTTAAAGGAGTTATAATCGATTAGTCTATGTTTTAAAATTGTGTTTTGATTTTAAAGTTTAGCAAAACATGTACTTGCTTTTCTATCCGACATTTGATGTATATAAAAAACACCTTATAATTTATTTGGTAATTTAATTATTTTTTGAGAAAGACAAAAACAAACAAAACAAAATAGCTACTAATTATAACTTAGAACATAAATGAAAAACTCATGACAAGGAAAGTGGCTCAGGACCATGCTTTGCGGCAGTCTGTGCAGGAGGATGTTCAGTAGTGGACTTGTGAACAGCTGCAATGATCATTATGATTCGAAAACTTGCACGAATAAATCATAAGAAATCGACGTTTTTATAGGATAGGGTGACAAACGAGCACACAGTTCACCTGATGGTAAGTGGTTACTGTGGCCCACAGACATCTACATCTATCCTCGATTACGAATCAAAATGCAGATGCGTTGTCACCCGTGAGGACTAAGATGAAATGCCTCGTTTCCTTTAAAAAGGGTCTCTGGTTCTCTACACTCACTATACGAAACACAGCATCATTAAGTAGGGCTGCCATCCGTCCGGGTTTCCCCGGATTTGTCCTAGTTTGGAAGACATCCTGGGAGCGTCCGGGCGGGGTGGTCCTTCCCCGGTCGAACCGACCCGGGAAGGATTCGTGCTACGACTATACTTCTAATATGACTGCATGGTTCTACCACGTATAAACGACGTGCTTCATTATTTTTTTTTTTCATTTTAAAATTGTTCTCGTAATAATCTGATTGTAAATAAATGTTCATTATATATATTTTTTTTGATAAATAGCTTATCGATTAAAACAAATGTTTAAAAATAATTAAATCGCGCTAATTAAAGTAGTAGGAATGTTTAAAATTGAAATTGGCACTAAAAGGCTGGTATTTGGGGTATCCACCCTACAAAGCTTGAATATAACATTTAAATCACATGCGTGTAATCACTCTGGGAGATTGTAGCAAACTAAACGCGCGCCCAACGTGTGGACGCGGCGACCAAACTCTGCCAACAATCCTTTGATCTTTTGTAAAAAACCGACACCACACGGATCTCGCGCCAACTTGTGAGCCATCGTTCCAATACATACCAATGAAGCCCAAACACCCGCTCTACACGTTGGCCAATGCTATTGGCCACATTCGCCACTGTGTTGGCCAACGTGTAGAGGCGCCGTAAAGCTATGAACTATGCTTATTTGCTTACATTTCATGTTTAGACATATTAGGTACACGTTATACTTAAATATTACAATTATTATATAATGCGGTATTATTAAATATAAAATTACTAAACTATTTTAACAACCTTTAATACCTATCTAGGTACATTAAAATTATTTTAATGTGATTTCAATGAAACTAAGGTAGAAATATAATATATAAATATTATATATTTTCTACCTTAGTTTCATACTTCTATATTATTACTCTAATAGTAGAAGCGTAAGACCATTACCTCAAATGATTACAGATAAATTATAAAAATACAGATAAAATATCAGTGATGAAATCCGTCTGTAATATCAAGCATTTATGTGAAATGTCCGAAATCTCTAGTATATATACAGTAATCTATAGTCAGAAAGATCTCACTTATGAACTCTTTCCAAAGATGGTTTGTAACGCCAGAGGTAAATTAGTGACAGGGAATGAAAAACTAAACCGCAATTTAATTGCAAAACACGCTGTGATTGATAATCTTTAAGACAAATATCTTTATTCATTACATAATATGTAGGGACGTGATTAATTGTGTAGTGGAACAGTTTCACCCTTGCTATCTAGTGATACAGTGTCGAGAATTCCAGATCGCTCAACAGTAATTTATTCATTAATTGTTTAACCGGCTCACTGTAAAACGTTTTTACAATCGTTATGTGATTTGAAATCGTTGCCCCCATTAACATTCATGCGGGTGATGTTACATGTGACAAGGCGAATGGAGCCAGGCGTCATGGGTGGCTGGCTCGGCTTCATTTTGCCATCATTGTTCGTTCCGCGTCGTAACTTCCATGTTATGAATGAACTCATTGCAATCTTTCGCGGAAAACGATTTTTTGTGGGATCACCAAAGTTTTTAGATGGTTTCATGCTGTTTTAATATATAAAAAATTAACTGTCAAAGCTAGCATCAACATGTATCAAAATTCATCATCATAGTCATCCTTAAAGCGTTTCACTAGTCGACAACTGAACATAGGCCTCCCTGAAGGACGGTCGACTTGTATGTCTTACCAGGTCATCATACCATATAGTGAGGGTTGCCCTACACTTCGCTTACCGAAGCTACAATTCAAGAAAATTTTTATTCATCGGTTGTTTTTTTTTTATATATATATATATATATATATATATATATATATATATATATATATATATATATATATATATATATATATATGGGGGCTGTGCTGTAATGACCTTGTGCTTCCTCATACGGCGAGCAGTGATGTACCACGTCTGATCCAAATGTCATTACTGGCAACATTGATTACGAATATTGATCCGTTGAATTTTAGCAAATTGTGTAAACGCATA